TTAAGAAATATGTGCCCTTGATTAATCGATTTGACCGACTAGACTGTGTGAACAATTCCTGTCGGATAACAAATCCTCTGGCCAAGTTGCAGGCGTAGACCCTGGCAAATAGTCCTCGGTCTCTTAAGGTATCATAATCGACAGCATTCAGGAGTGGCTCGGCCTGTGAATGATTCATAGCAGGCATAAATAATGGAGCCTAGCAGCCAGTTAGCAGCTGCACTTCGAAATAGTAGTGGCCTGAAACACAATCGTTTCCCCTGTAAACTATGTGTTTCACCTGCACCACACCGGGGCGTCTGGGCCTGAGTGACAGGTTGAGCAGGGGAACGAACCAACTCCTTCCTCCCTCCAGACCTCGCTTCATCTTCCTCTGATGAATTTTTCACCAAAGCCTCTTTGATATCTCTCCCCCAGGGGAGCTTGGGTAATGTAAACTATAATTATTTCTCACAACTGCACTTCTTCTCTAATTAGTTCACTCCTCAGAACTGGACCGTGCATTATTTACACATCAAGAGGACACGGGTTGGAAGATAAATATTCATTGTTTGTTGACTTTGTCGGGTCCCTCGGCTCTGCAAGTGCTGTCGTCTCCCGTCTTGTTTTTATATGGTAAATGGCGCCCCGGTCGGGATAGCCGGCGAGGCCCCTCGTTAGGTCTTGTTGTCCAATTATCTGTACCCAGGGTCAGATCCACCTCATCCTCATCCCAGACAGAGACCCAAACCACTGAACATCCCAAACCACTGATTCAGAATCAGATTAATAAGCGGTCAGCGTGGAGACACGTTGTAATCATAGTCTTTTGAAGACTGTTCTTGGTTTTGGACAGCGTTAGTAAACATTCCATTTTCATCTGGCTTTGGAATGTGTGAATGAAAATAGTTATAGCTCAAGTCATCAATAAGAAAGATCTCAATTAATTTGCTATATGTTAAGCCCCTCTCTGTCAAGGCATCTTAAAGCCTTTCCTACTGGGTCATCTGTAATGGACTGCAGCTCTTGAAAAGGGTCTGGATGGTGGCATTTGTTGGTAGTTCCTGCATGCGGCTTGTTTCAGAGTGGATTTGCAGGAGCACGTGAGGTCTGTTTTTCCTGGCATAAATAGACTCCTGTATCTCCCCCCTCTTGGTGGTCCTGCGACCTTGAAGCCCATTGTCTGCATAGTAAATGCCTGTGGGGGAAACTTGGGTTGGTGGATGTGACGCAGCTGTTCCTTTCCCATTTCAAATCAAATCAAAGTTTATTTGTCGCGTACTAGGGCTGGCCCCATTTAGTCGACTGGTCGATTGTTTGGTCGATAGGCAGTTTGTTGGTCAACCAAGATTGTTTTTGTTGACCAATGGCAAATGTAAATCACCATCCCTGTGAATCTTCTCAAAGTATTTTTTTCTTCGCCTCAAAAAGCAAGTAAACTAAGTATGTTTTTACATCCATTGAGAATGACAATAGTTCCTCAACGTAGCCTATTTGAAAAGTCTTTCCAGCTCTCCCTTTCGATTACCACTCAGCATGAAAGGGGAAAAAATGTCATGCTCTGATCTGGTGGAAATGTCATAAAAAAGGTCTACCTGATTACTTCTTATCCCTTGCGCAAATAGCCTACAGCTGTGTCTGTCTGTCCGGAGCTCACTGGCACAGGACACTCTGAGGGCCCAGAATATTTTATACAATGTTGCAAGTTTGCTAGCACAAGCTTCAGGCCAGACCCAAGTTAATAGTTGATACAATGTTTCAAGTTCCTTGCAGACTGGCCATGCAGAGCTAATGTGATTTATAGGATATTTATTTTTTATCATATTTTCTACCTGCGTGCTGCAGTGTTTTTATTGGTTGGCTTTATGTAGGCTATTTTTTTTACATATTGGCAATGGCAATAGAAGTTACTTTTAGATTTGTATCATTTTCATTTAGATAGAATTTTGATGAACCACATTACATTGATTTTGAGATATGAAGACTATTATAAATGTTTTTGAAATATGAAGACTATTATAAATTAAATGAAACTGTTCCACGAAAATATGCATATGAAAATCATAACTGGCACGCAGATCAGTAGAAATGGTATGATAACTTGGCACTCCAAATGGAAAAGGTTGCCGATCGCTGGTGTAGCGTATTACCAGCAACTTCGGGAGCTTAATGGCAGAATCTGTGAAGGCCAGCAGTAGCGGGCAGCGATAGGAGGAGAGTAGGGAACAGGTTTTTTTCTTCTGGATAGGCTATATTGCTCTCTGGCTCCCTCTTTAGTAATTTGTGTCTTCATTTTTAATTGCAGTGCGTAAAGCATCAGACAAGCTCAGTAGCCTACATATAGTTGATTTTATTCAAACATAGGGTGTGTCTATATATGGAATAATACACGTTAAAAAAATTTGACCAATCAATTGGTATACAGATTTGCAGATGTTATCGCAGGTGCAGCAGTGCAGTTTCTAGCTCCAACAGTGCAGTAATATCTAAATGCTTATGTTTCTAGCTCCAACAGTGCAGTAATATCTAAAAGCTCCAAAAGTGCAGTAATATTTAAATGATTATATTTATAGCTCCAAAAGTACAGTAATATCTAAATCCTTATATTTATAGCTCTAAAAGTGCATTAATATCTCAATCATTATGTTTCTAGCTCCAACAGAGCAGTAATATCTAGCAACACAATAACAATACACACATGATCCAAAAGGTATACAGTGGGGAGAACAAGTATTTGATACACTGCCAATTTTGCAGGTTTTCCTACTTACAAAGCATGTAGAGGTCTGTAATTTTTATCATAGGTATATTTCAACTGTGAGAGACGGAATCTAAAACAAAAATCCAGAAAATCATATTGTAATTAATTTGCATTTTATTGCATGACATAAGTATTTGATCACCTACCAACCAGTAAGAATTGCGGTTCTCACAGAACTGTTAGTTTTTCTTTAAGAAGCCCTCCTGTTCTCCACTCATTACCTGTATTAACTGCACCTGTTTTAACTCGTAACCTGTATAAAAGACACCTGTCCACACACTCAATCAAACAGACTCCAACCTCTCCACAATAGCCAAGACCAGAGAGCTGTGTAAGGACATCAGGGATAGAATTGTAGACCTGCACAAGGATGGGATGGGCTACAGGACAATAGGCAAGCAGCTTGGTGAGAAGGCAACAACTGTTGCCGCAATTATTAGAAAATGGAAGAAGTTCAAGATGACGGTCAATCACCCTCGGTCTGTGGCTCCATGCAAGATCTCACCTTGTTGGGCATCAATGATCATGAAGAAGGTGAGGGAACAGCCCAGAACTACACGGCGGGACCTGGTCAATGAACTGAAGAGAGCTGGGACCACAGTCGCAAAGAAAACCATTAGTAACACACTACGCCGTCATGGATTAAAATCCTGCAGCGCACGCAAGGTCCCCCTGCTCAAGCCAGCGCATGTCCAGGCCCGTCTGAAGTTTGCCAATGACCATCTGGATGATCCAGAGGAGGAATGGGAGAAGGTCATGTGGTCTGATGAGACAAAAATAGAGCTTTTTGGTTTAAACTCCACTCGCCGTGTTTGGAGGAAGAAGAAGGATGAGTACAACCCCAAGAACACCATCCCAACCGTGAAGCATGGAGGTGGAAACATCATTCTTTGGGGATGCTTTTCTGCAAAGGGGACAGGACGAATGCACCGTATTGAGGGGAGGATGGATGGGGCCATGTATCGCGAGATCTTGGCCAACAACCTCCCCTCAATAAGTGCATTGAAGATGGGTCGTGGCTGGGCCTTCCAGCATCACAACGACCCGAAACACACAGCCAGGGCAAATAAGGAGTGGCTCCGTAAGAAGCATCTCAAGGTCCTGGAGTGGCCTAGCCAGTCTCCAGACCTGAACCCAATAGAAAATCTTTGGAGGGAGCTGAAAGTCCGTATTGCCCAGCGACAGCCCCGAAACCTGAAGGATCTGGAGAAGGTCTGTATGGAGGAGTGGGCCAAAATCCCTGCTGCATTGTGTGCAAACCTGGTCAAGACCTACAGGAAACGTATGATCTCTGTAATTGCAAACAAAGGTTTCTGTACCAAACATTAAGTTCTGCTTTTCTGATGTATCAAATAATTATGTCATGCAATGAAATGCAAATTAATTACTTAAAAATCATCGTCTCTCACAGTTGAAGTGTACCTATGATAAAAATTACAGACCTCTACATGCTTTGTAAGTAGGAAAACCTGCAAAATCGGCAGTGTATCAAATACTTGTTCTCCCCACTGTATATATTATTTTTGGGGTCTATTGCGCCTCACCAACCCACATCAACCCGCACAGCGGCGGAATCGACTGGAGGACTGAATAAGACTGAATAGAGAGGCTCAGGAGAAAGCAACTCGCAGTTTAGTTTTTATGTCTGGCAAATAATTACCATAATCACTGTCAACATTAATGGAGATTGCAACGCTGGAGAATTCAAACCCGGCTTTTCCATATTTATAGAAGCAATAAACAAAGAATGCAAAGGGAAATGTCTGTTATGATTCAAAGTGAACACTGTTTACTGGCATTGAAATTCATATTTGGGTAAGGGGATGAGATTGGATTGTGGAGTATGAGTGGAAATGCAATATTCCTGGGTTAAACACAATTTGACACCATAATGTGTATGTGTCCATCTCTATTTATCTTTCTCTCCCTTCATCTCTCTCTCTTTCATTATGCTGAAAGAAACCACAGAATGGTTTTGGGTAGTGTAAAACACTAATAAGAAGTGTGTATCTCCAGGCTTTAGTTGAACACTGTCTGGACACTGTGTAGACGTGTGTGTAAAAACATAAAACAGCGCCCTCTGGATGGAACTGTCCCTGTCTAATGCATTGATAACTACACTCTACTTTTGGCATCAAACTACCATTGATCTCTACACTTGGCATCAAAATAAGACTATACAGAATGGGAATATGAAACACTTGACATTTCAGTAAGTCTCCTCTCCCCAGCCCTCTGCAGTTTTAAGAAGAGGGGGAGAATGATCACTCGTCGCTGTGGGTGCATATCTGTCAGAAATGCGAGCAGGACGTTTCGTGGTGAACCTAACGGCTATAGCAGGCGTTGTTTGGCACTGTTTTCATGGAAATGGTGGTGTTTTTCTTTCTCTCCAGGTGGAAATTACGCTCCAGGACGTCAATGACAACCCACCTGTTTTCCCGAACGATCTTCTTGACGTGACCATCGAAGAGAACATCAGTGATGGCTTCAAGATAATGCAGCTAACAGCCACAGACGCAGATGAGGTAAAGTCTCCCAGGATTGGCCTTTTCTATATTCTGTCTGTACGGATGGCTATTTGAATGAAATGCTGGCAGATAACCCCCGTCCCCGTCCCCGTCCCCGTCCCCGTCCCCGTCCCCGTCCCCGTCCCCGTCCCCTATGCCAGAGGGAAGGATCAGCCAAAAGGCAGCCATTACAAAAAGTAAATGTAAAAGGCATACCGTCGTTATCTCTGTGTTACCATCAAAATTGATGTTTTTTTATGTACATCTTGACTAGATTTGGTGACGTACTTAAATGTAAAGTGCTCAACCTCCTAAATACATTATATTGCTCTTATCTGCATATAGGAACTCAGAAATGAAAATCTGGAAATGAGCAGATGTGACCCTCTGTTAGGGGATTTCTTACAGAGAAAAAAGAAAGTGGCTGCAGGTAGAAACTTAGTTTCCAATATCCCCCCCAAAAAAGAAATCTGTCCAAATCATGCGCTCTGCAATTATTTTACCAAGTATCCGACCATAGCCACTGGCGTAACGCAGTTTGATCAGTCACATTCCACACTTAGCTTCCTAGTACAAATGGAAATTTAAAAGGTTTATTAATGACTTTTTGGAGGGTTACTGTCAAAATTATTTATTAAGTTTAAAAAATAAACAATCAATGAAGGGCGCATGGGCCTCCAGCGCTCGTGGGCCCCCACGCCTTGCGGAGGCTGCAGGGGTGTCTGGTACGCCAGTGACCACAACTTGAAGTTCACTTGGAGCAATCGCAGCACTTTTGCTTTCTCACACACACACACACACACACGGTCCCCAGCGATCACGTGTTTTGACGTTACCTGAGATGGCTAGGGGCCATGGGTGTCACCGAGCCCTGAGGAGAGCGGCTAACGATTGGCTCCTCGCGCCGGCCAGATTGTCCCTCTGCGGCCTCTGTAGTTTATATTACATCACTGGCTTCGCCCTCGATTAGAAAAAGGCTCCATCTTTCGCAACCTAGGCAGGATGTGGACATAAAATCCAGCACTGAGCGAAAAGCAGGTCCTCCCTGCATCTCCAAGGCCTGCGGTTCCTTTCCAATGAGACAGGGGAACTGGATGGAAATAACTGGGGCCATTGTGAGGAGGGATTAGTGTGTGAGAAAATGTGGACTCATACTTAACGTTAACTTCTGAGGCCACACGTTTTTATTACACAGCTGTTACCTCACCAACCTTGCCAGTTAGAATGTGAGAAAAATCATGCACAGTCCATTTCTGGAATGGTCATTGTATTCAGAATAGAACATTGACTGTAAATCCTGGAGTCAGATCAATATTTTGACTAATAGGGCGTTTTAAGTTCGTTTGAGTAACTTCTCTTGGACTCAAGTGAACTTGAACTTGGAGCTCTGATCTTGAAGGATTTGATATATGGTATTGAAATGGACTTGGACGGTTTCTGTTAGTTTCTTTATCACTTTTTCCTCATTGTCAAAATCAAAGGGAAGAAACACTTGAGCTGTGTTCCAGTAGTATTGAATAGCTTCCTTCCTTTGCCTCCTCTCCATGACCACTGATCCAAAAGTACCTGAAAGGGAAAAGCAATATGATGAAACCTATCCAGTCATTTTACCTATTATGGGTCATGAAGGAAATTAGAGTAGGAAAAGGCACTTGTTTAGAGTATTGGGACACAGCCTCGGATGTAGTTGCACTCAGATATGATCATTAAACTGAACTCCAGATAAGGCCGGCCAATTTCTGCCCACATCCTAACGCAGGAAACGTAAGTTGCACTGACACTAAGCGTATGGAACGCATTCAGGCCCTGTTCAGAAATCCACAAGTGATCCACGGAGGCGTTGCCAAGTGTGGCAAGCTGTTGGCCAGCTGACTGGCTGAATTCAGACATCATAATGATCCCATCCAATTTAACAGTGCTACATGTGGGATTCATGTGTGAGCATATTAAAATGCTGTTTCTATGCATCCGTTTTCCGCTACACCCGAAATGAAGGGAACGGTTGCATTCAGTTTGGAAAAGAAAAATAATAAAGCTTTGCTCTCTCCCGTAATGAAGGCCTCTTTTGGAGAAAATGGTTCTCACCTGATTATTTGAAAGAATATAAAAAAACGGCACTTTTTGGAGAGAACGTTCTAGTTTTATTAGCATTCTGACATAGAGTGGAAAATATGCAGGTACCAAAAGTCTAACTAAGAAAAGTCTCTAGAACAATGGGTGCTAAAGAAGCAAAACAACAACGTAACAGCCCAAAATAGTTGCTACAAGACAGTTACTATAGCCTTCTATGATGTACCCCAAATGTAAATACACAGTCATTTACTAAATCAACAGCCCTACGGGGGGGGAACATAACTTTCAAAGTCCCTTCTTTTGGTGCTGTGCATCACCTGAAAATCTAGTTCTTAAATGACTATCAGTTTAGATTGATGCATTGTAAATAGAGGTATGATTATAGCTTCTCAACACGTTGCTGTGATTGGACTTTTAACACCTGTCTTGTGATTGGCTCACATGGCCTAGTCGTGTTTCAGGAAGCTCCGCTTCTCGACAGCTCTAGGAGTCTCTCTCTTCACCCCGAGCTGCTGCTGCTGCTGAAACTCATCTGCTAAATGAGTTTCCTTATGCCCAAGTCTGGCCCGAATCCTGCCCCCCCCCCCCCCCCCTTCTTCCCACTGTGCCTTGGGACGGCTGTAAACTAGTCAGTCTTTTTACTGAGGAAGGTCAGGGGGAGACGATGGACCCCCTACTCCTCTCCTCCTCTCTCCATTTGGTCCCCCTACTCCTCTCCTCCTCTCTCCTTTTGGTCCCCCTACTCCTCTCCCCTCTCATCCCCCTCCTTTCCCCTCTCCTCCTCTCTCCTTTTGAACCATATCAGATAATTAATTAGCAGACGAAGGGTGTCTAGTTCCGGTTTGCAGCCCAGGTGGCTGATGGGAATCCCAGATCCAGCATTCTGATGAACACAGCCTCAATCTGACCTCTCACTAAAAATGAGAATGGGCTCTCTGGAATTGCAATGAGGCTAACTCACAAGGATGGGGTTTTTGTCCTTGGGAAACTAGTAATAAACTATTACTACTTACTAAATGGGAGATACATCAACTTTATTTTATTGCATCAACTCCATTTTATTGTATATTGGCAAGATCAAAAGTACCCTTGAAATCACCCTGAAATGAAAGATGCGTTTAGCTTTTGACCAGTCTGTTGAAAAGTAGTAGCTTTTGAAGTGGACTTTCTTCCTTCACTTAGCATCAGACATCAGGAGAGAGTCTTCTGCTCTGGTATTGTCCTCAGCACAAACATCAATGTCAAGCTCTGTCGCCACTGTTATTCAGTTGTCAAACCACACTCAGTCCTCTACTCCAATTGCAAAGGACCACTATGGCTTTCACATGTGTACTGGGTTGTACTTGTCCAAGGTATCAAGGGATCTATTAGTTGCGTTTATAGAGGAACTCTATAGCCCCAGAGTTCAAACACCAAGAGTACGGCCCAAGAGAATATTGCCATTCAGCTCCTGTGAGTTTTTCTCTTATTCTCCCGTATGACCATTCTATTTTGAGGGGAGCTTGCTAAGTGATGCGTTTGCAATATATTTCACTCATTGAGATTTATAATATAATCATGTCTAATATATTAGCCCTAGAATAAAGTATTTGATTAAAGTGTGAAAGCACGCAGTGGGTGGTTGTGAACATTAATTTCACTCTTACAAAGAAAGTAGTATGACGTCCCTCTCTCTCCCTTCAGGACATTGACTAACCATAACCCTTAACCCTATGTTAATCATCACATTCTCATGTTCAAGCATCATAATAAAAAGTCTACACTGAATCTTTCTGCCATTAGAAATAACCAATTATAACCGTTTGTATTTCTTCAGGGTCCTAATGCTCTGGTGACCTACACCATTATCAGCGGTGCCGATGACAGTTTCCGGATCGACCCGGAATCGGGGGACCTGATCGCCACCAAGAGACTAGACCGGGAACGTCGCTCCAAGTATTCCCTGCTGGTTCGAGCCGACGATGGAAAGCAATCTTCAGATATGAGGCTGAACATCACTGTCAGTGACGTCAACGATCACACGCCGAAATTCTCCCGTGGAACGTACTCCTTCGACATTCCCGAGGATATGACACCAGGTAAAAGGCTTACTGTGACATGGCGTTGCTTGTAACTGCTAGGTTCTTTCATGCTTACTCAGTGTGACAGGTCCCAAATTAATTTCTGCTAAGTTTTATGCCATTCCACTTGAATGTGGTCTATCTGTATTTAAAATGCTTTTAATGCATGACCTTTCTCTAGTTAGCTAGGTCAACAGAGACTGTATGTATGTTATTATTCATACCTGTATATTAAGTTAGTTAAACATCCTGTGTTGTGTGCTTATTCTATTACCAGGTAAGAAAATTACACTAGTCACTCAAAACATTTATAAAGTATTTATACAGTATAAATGGCAATCACTTTAGATTAGGGACTGCAAAAATACTTTAATTATGATTAGTAAATGGTTTATTAATGTGGGAGTAAATATTAATAAATGGTGAACACACAATTTATAAATTCCTTTTAAATGGGTTTTTTCCGAACCATTAAAATAAAGTGTTACCGGGACATTGAATCTGCTCATCAAACTGTGGCACTTGGAAATATGAAATATGTTATTTTTGTTCAATATGGCAGTTGAAGGAGTTGGTATGCAAACGTGAGGGAATCCCAATCCAAAAACCCTCTCAAATCCTCACTGTCTGACTGTCTGCTTCTTGACTTGTCAGGCTCCATCGTGGCGGCGATCCTGGCAAGTGACTTAGACTCGGGGGTGAACGGCGAGATCACGTACTCCCTGGAGGAGGATGACGAGGACGAGACCTTCCTGCTCAACCCCGTCACGGGGGTCTTCAACGTCACGCGGCCCCTGGACTATGAATCCCAGCGGTACTACATCCTGACCGGGAGGGCCCAGGACGGCGGTGGTCAGGCCAGTGCGGTCAGGGTCTACTTCAACGTCCTGGACGTCAATGACAACCCGCCCGTCTTCAACGCCACCTCCTACAGCACTTCGGTCACCGAGAGCCTCCCCCCTGGCTCCAGTATCATCACCGTAGGGGCCAGTGATGCAGATGACGGTATGTATGTCCCTTCTGTCAGTTGCTGATTTCCATAAAAGGATAATCTGCCACAGCAATGACGGAAATGGATGGTTTACGAAAAATGCAGGTGAACATGGTTAATATAGCATGGCCCATAACTATTTTTCTATGACACAACACCTGTAATGATCATGCAGTGAAGGGAGTTAGCTAAACATAATATTAAACCATACATTTATTTTCAATTTTTCATTCCTGTCACATTAGAATCATCTTGTGAAATACGGTCCACTAAGCCTATAATCAAGTGGCTTGAGGTATTCGTCCATTTCAGGTGGTTACGGTTAGACTGTCTTCATGCTATTATAACAGCCCTGCCGTCCCTCTGACTGCAATTACCACTCCGACCATACCAGGCCTGATGCGGTTACTGTGACCCACATTCCTGAGGCAGAAGCCTGTTTTGTGTCTCCCAACGGCAGGCTTCCTCTCCTCCACTGTCCACTTGCTCTCATTGACCCTCGTTGTCGATAGTCAGTCAGCGTTCTCTCAACGTTCTCTCTCTGTTATCTCAACGTTCTCTCAGCATTCTCTCTGTGTTACCTCAACATTCTCTCAACGTTCTCTCTGAGTTATCTCAACGTTCTCTCAGCGTTCTCTCTCTGTTATCTCAGCGTTCTCTCAACGTTTTCTCTGTGTTATCCCAATGTTCTCTCAGCGTTCTCTCTGTGTTATCGCCCCCCACTAAACATAATTGTTAGCACTTCCAGAAGTTCCTCAACCCTTGACCCCTGTAGACATGGCTGTAAACTAGGGATAGAAGTAGACTTGGCCTTTTGATAAGGGATTACCTGTGTTCAGTACACACGTCTGGAGTGTTGGAAGGTGCCGGGCCGCTTTCCACATGAATACCCCAATGACTTCAATTACAGACGCTCAATTTAAGCTCGTTTTCCCCCGGCTCCAGGGCAGGAACGAGGGTTAAGCTGGATTTCAAGGTCTAATAGTTTTCATTTGTGCGGTTTCTGTAGTTAGTTATTTAATTGAAATGAATGTTTCGATTGTGAGGGAAATTCCTAAATTGTAGAACGTGGCCTATCAGTAAAGGAGGTGATTTTAAGTTGCTGTGCTGTTTCTCTTTTGAAAGGGATAGATTACACTGCATAAAGGCATCCTCCGTTTGGAGGAAGAAATTGGAAGGCGGCTGAGACAGTAGTTATTGTGAAGACATTAAGACAATATGTGGAAATGCATGTTGATAGCGAATATAACATTCTAATTCAGACATGCAGAACAGTCATATCTAAACAACCTGGCATGAACAGATGTCAGTCCAAATGATCTACACTTTATTTGTTTTAGGTACAGTGCAGTATATTACATTACATGTTCTCTGGGCTATTTTAAGGTAATCTAATCCTACCCCTTCCAGATGAATACTTCTCGTCTTGAAACAGAAGGGTCCATTACACTGTAACTACCCCCTACCATAACAAACAGCTGAAGCAAGCACACAAAGCTTCTTCAGAACTTCAAATTTTCTAGTACAAGTAACTAACACAAGGTAACCAACTCCAAATCTATTGCTATGGCTTGTCTTCCAGGTCTGAATGCCCAGCTACTCTACACCATCATATCGGGAGATCCTCAGAGCCAGTTTGACATCACCAAAGCTGGGGTACTCCAGACCAGAAAGGCCTTGGATCGGGAGGCCCAGTCCTTCTACAACCTGGTGGTCATTGTCCACGACCTGGCCCTCGCCCCCATGACCCGCTACACCAGCACGGCCCAGGTGTCCATCATCCTGCTGGACGTCAACGACTGCCCGCCAACCTTCACCTCCCAGAAGAGGACCTATATCCAGGAGAATACTCCAGTGGACACGGTGGTCTTCACGGCCCAGGCCATTGATGCAGACAGCGGGACCCAACAGCTACGTGGAGTACTCCCTGAAAGGCCCCTTTGGGAACAAGTTCAGCATAGGAACTATCGATGGAGACGTAAGGCTGGTGGGCGAACTGGACCGGGAGGAGATGTCCAATTATACACTGACGGTGGTGGCCACGGATAAGGGCGAGCCGCCGCTGTCTTCAGCCATGGATGTGACGATGCTGGTGCTGGACGTCAACGATAATACGCCCAGTTTCTCGCAGAACATCTACGACGTCGAGATCGAGGAGGACACGCTGACGGGCACCGACGTTATCCAGGTGTTTGCCAGCGACGCTGATGAGGGAACCAATGGGCAGATCCGCTTCTCCATCGCTGGGGGCAACATCAACTCAGATTTCAGGATTGACTCGGTCACCGGAGTGATCTCGGTGGCCAAGCAGCTGGACAGAGAGATGCGGCCGTCTTATTCGTTGTTGGTCCAGGCAGCCGACCGCGGAAGCAGTCCGAGGGTGGACCGCGCCATGGTCAACATCGTGCTGTTGGATGTGAACGATTGCCCGCCGGTGTTCGAGCTCTCTCCTTACTCTGTGAACGTTGAGGAGAACGTGGGGAGTCTCCCAAGGAACATACTACAGGTCAGTGTGGTCTTTCACTTTGTCAATCATTCTAGACGATCATGGTCAAACATTATTTACATTTCTGGACTGGGATTTTAAGTCTCATAAACAAAGCACTAATTCATATGCCAGGCCTAAGACCTTCAACGAGCTAATGGCTTAACTACATTTGTAGGAATATTAACCCAATAAGTATGTATGGTATCAGTTTACAAAAACATAAAGCATGGTGGTCATGTTTTTGTGAATTGGCATGGAAAATAGGCGATTAAAACAATAAAGAATGATAGCAATGGGTGCTGCTTGTTTCACTATTTTTTTGATTGCTTTAGAAAATATAATTGGGTTATTACAATCCAAAGTACCAAATTGAAGTAAATGAGAAAGGACCTGTCTCCACTGCAGTGAGCAGAAACACAAAGGACCTGTCTCCACTGCAGTGAGAAGACACACAAAGGACCTGTCTCCACTGCAGTGAGCATACACACAAAGGACCTGTCTCCACTGCAGAGCATACACACAAAGGACCTGTCTCCACTGCAGTGAGCAGACACACAAAGGACCTGTCTCCACTGCAATGAGCAGACACACAAAGGACCTGTCTCCACTGCAGTGAGCAGACACACAAAGGACCTGTCTCCACTGCAGAGCATACACACAAAGGACATGTCTCCACTGCAGTGAGCAGACACACAAAGGACCTGTCTCCACTGCAGAGCATACACACAAAGGACCTGTCTCCACTGCAGTGAGCAGACACACAAAGGACCTGTCTCCACTGCTGAGAGCAGACACACAAAGACCTGTCTCCACTGCAGTGAGCAGACACACAAAGGACCTGTCTCCACTGCAGTGAGCAGACATGCAAAGGACCTGTCTCCACTGCAGTGAGCAGACACACAAAGGACCTGTCTCCACTGCAGAGCATACACACAAAGGACCTGTCTCCACTGCAGTGAGCAGACACACAAAGGACCTGTCTGCACTGCAGAGCAGACACACAAAGGACCTGTCTCCACTGCAGTGAGCAGACGCACAAAGGAACTGTCTCCACTGCAGTGAGCAGACACACAAAGGACCTGTCTCCACTGCAGTGAGCAGTCACACAAAGGACCGGTCTCCACTGCAGAGCAGACACACAAAGGACCTGTCTCCACTGCAGCTAGCAGACACACAAAGGACCTGTCTCCACTGCAGCGAGCAGACGCACAAAGGACCTGTCTCCACTGCAGTGAGCAGACGCACAAAGGACCTGTCTCCCCTGCAGCGAGCAGACACACAAAATACCTGTCTCCACTGCAGAGCATACACACAAAGGACCTGTCTCCACTGCAGCTAGCAGACACACAAAGGACCTGTCTCCACTGCAGCGAGCAGACGCACAAAGGACCTGTCTCCACTGCAGTGAGCAGACGCACAAAGGACCTGTCTCCCCTGCAGCGACTAGACACACAAAAGACATGTCTCCACTGCAGCGAGCAGACACAAAGGGCCTGTCTCCACTGCAGTGAGCAGACACACACAGTGTCGTTTGTCTGTATACTGTTCCTACAAGGAAATTATTCTGCAGCTGTGTGGAAACGGCTCAAGCAGCGGTGGGTTGCCACACAATAATATGTCCCTGTGCCAACCTGACAGCACCCATAATGCACTGGCACTCACTAATGAGTTATTTTGGTCTCAAGATTTATGCCCAACCTTACAGCATAATGAGTGGGGGTTGGAAAAGACCAATATCAGATCTGACATTTTTTTTGCACATTTTCGGTAATGACTGTCCTCCCAGACAGATGTTACAGTCTTATATTTTTCTGATCTCTGAGAAAATCTATTTTTACGGTGTCCGTATTAGGATAGCCTCAGAGTCATAAGGAGTGTGTCACTGACTCATCCGTCTCATCTTTGCTCTTTAGGTTATGGCCAGGGATGATGACCTGGGTTCCAATGGCCAGCTGTGTTACATGCTGAGCGGTGGGAACGAGGAAGGAGCCTTCAGTCTGTCATCCAATGGTCAGCTGATCCTCACCCAGACCATGGACCGCGAGGCTAAGGGGAACTACACCCTCGTCATCACGGCAACCGACTCCGGTAAGAACAGCTGAGTGGGCGGTCAACATATCATCTTGAAATGTTTCTAGCATTTCAACACAACAGCATGAAGATGGATAGCGACTGTTTTATTAAGTCTCTTCATCCATTGGTGTTCGAAGTGGCGCTCCTGTGCAAAATGTATACCATATTCAACAAGTTCGACTAAGTGTCAATCATCTCCTTGAAAAGAAAAGAGAGCCTATATCTGGCGAAGGAAGAGCGATGCTCCATAAGATGCATCTGTGTTGCATCACATGGACATAGACCGAAGTATCTTGACATAAAGCAAATATCTCAACAGATCATGGAGTTCATTCACTGTAAGCTACACATTGTTTTGTCATGCAAATGTATATATAGGGATATTATGTTTGACGATATATATCGTATCGTTTTGACAACAATTGCAATATTACTTTTGCTCTAGTTGGCTGTACCAGCACAAAAACTCCAGTATTTTTATTTCATAGCTTGTTCTCCATCTTCTTTTTAAATAGTGAGCCAATTTGTTTTCAGCACTTTTATTTCCATGACTGAACAAAACTAGTTTTCTCATGGCTCTCTCTTGTCCCTCAGCAGCAGACATATGGTGAGAAATACATCGATTCGCAATAAATTGGAACATCGAATCGCAATAAAATGACAGTATCGAATCGCAATACATATAGAATCGCCAGAATGACAAAACATATCGTACCGTGATAATATCATATTGTGAGGTCCCGGGTAATTCCCAGCCCTAATTATTTCCACACAAGGCTTTTTAAGAATATCCCAGAAACCTTGTTGCAGCATTTGATAGAATAGGGCCCTTCTCTGTTTGTTTGGAGACTGTGGTGGAGCTTGTTTTATCCAGATAAAAGGTTAGGTTGTTATTCCATAGAGGTCAGTAAATGTGCAGTTAAGCGAGTACATGCATATCCTCGTCCGAGCCAAATCACATGGTATGTAAGTTAAGTATATGTTTCTTTGGGCTACTCTGGCATGGCCGTCATGGTCAAAGGGTGGTTCTGTTTAATTCCTGGACTGACCATGTGACCAGCAGTAATGATGGGTATTTTTGACTTGGTATTGACTTTGGTGAGAAATGTTACAGTAAAGAGATCCACTCTTTATAGTGTGCGATAATGTTGGCTAGTGTGCATTAGGATATTGGATTATAATACGCGCTTACCTCTTTGCAAGGTCTCAATGGTGTATTGTGTCAGACCCTGGGTGGCATCTTGCCCCAGTGGTTGTTTTGGACAAGTGCAAAGGGCTTAAAGGCACAATCTGTAACGTTAATATCCAGTCAAAAGTACTGCCTTTGCACTTGTCTTTTAAAACTGTGGCAGTGACAAAGCCATGAAGTGTGACATACAGTCAGGGAAAAAAGTATTTGATCCCCTGCTGATTTTGTACGTTTGCCCACTGACAAAGACATGATCAGTCTATCATTTTAATGGTAGGTTTATTTGAACAGTGAGAGACAGAATAACAACAAAAACATCCAGAAAAACGCATGTCAAAAATGTTATGAATTGATTTGCATTTTAATGAGGGAAATAAGTATTTGACCCCTCTGCAAAACATGACTTAATTCTTGGTGGCAAAACCCTTGTTGGCAATCACAGAGGTCAGACGTTTCTTGTAGTTGGCCACCAGGTTTGCACACATCTCAGGAGGGATTTTGTCCCACTCCTCTTTGCAGATCTTCTCCAAGTCATTAAGGTTTTGAGGCTGACGTTTGGCAACTCGAACCTTCAGCTCCCTCCACAGATATTCTATGGGATTAAGGTCTGGAGACTGGCTAGGCCACTCCAGGACCTTAATGTGCTTCTTCTTGAGCCACTCCTTTGTTGCCTTGGCCGTGTGTTTTGTGTCATTGTCATGCTGGAATACCCATCCACAACCAATTTTCAATGCCCTGGCTGAGGGAAGGAGGTTCTCACCCAAGATTTGACGGTACATGGCCCCGTCCATCGTCCCTTTGATGCGGTGAAGTTGTCCTGTCCCCTTAGCAGAAAAACACCCCCAAAGCATAATGTTTACACCTCCATGTTTGACGGTGGGGATGGTGTTTTTGGGGTCAAAGGCAGCATTCCTCCTCCTCCAAACACGGCGAGTTGAGTTGATGCCAAAGAGCTCGATTTTGGTCTCATCTGACCACAACACTTTCACCCAGTTCTCCTCTGAATCATTCAGATGTTCATTGGCAAACTTCAGACGGGCCTGTATATGTGCTTTCTTGAGCAGGGGGACCTTGCGGGCGCTGCAGGATTTCAGTCCTTCACGGCGTAGTGTGTTACCAATTGTTTTCTTGGTGACTATGGTCCCAGCTGCCTTGAGATCATTGACAAGATCCTCCCGTGTAGTTCTGGGCTGATTCCTCACCGTTCTCATGATCATTGCAACTCCACGAGATGAGATCTTGCATGGAGCCCCAGGCCGAGGGAGATTGACAGTTATTTTCTGTTTCTTTCATTTGCGAATAATCGCACCAACTGTTGTCACCTTCTCACCAAGCTGCTTGGCGATGGTCTTGTAGCCCATTCCAGCCTTGTGTAGGTCTACAATCTTGTCCCTGACATACTTGGAGAGCTCTTTGGTCTTGGCCATGGTGGAGAGTTTGGAATCTGATTGATTGATTGCTTCTGTGGACAGGTGTCTTTTATACAGGTAACAAGCTGAGATTATGAGCACTCCCTTTAAGAGTGTGCTCCTAATCTCAGCTCGTTACCTGTATAAAAGACACCTGGGAGCCAGAAATCTTTCTGATTGAGAGGGAGTCAAATACTTATTGCCCTCATTCAAATGCAAATCAATTTATAACATTTTTGACACACGTTTTTCTGGATTTTTTTGTTGTTATTCTGTCTCTCACTGTTCAAATAAACCTACCATTAAAATTATAGACTGATCATTTATTTGTCAGTGGGAAAAGGTACAAAATCAGCAGGGGAACAAATACTTTTTTCCCTCACTGTAACTATACTGATTTTGTTTGATTTGTTACTTACAATAGCCTCAAATTCAGAGATTTTGATTATAATGCTTAACTAGACAATTCTAAACCAATTATGACAATTATTGTGTTCCTTTTTATAACTTCTCCACAAGTATGCCATTAATTAAAGCCCTGTCAACAAATCCAAAATATTTTGATAGAACATTTTGGAAGTTTTACCAATGAAAGTGCAGAAAGAGGGATTTGAGTAGAATATAAAAAAAACAGAATCATAGTACAGTTGAAATTACCCTCCAGCGTTATCTAAAAATGTTTAGGCTGAGTGTCACGATCGTCTGACGAATGAGTAGACCAAAGCGCAGCGCGTTGAGCGAACATGACTTTATTTAATTAAAGCCTAACACGAAAACAACAAAACAAATGACGATACGTGAAGTCCACAGTGACAATGACTGTACAGGAACAAAAACCCACAAACACAAGGTGAAAACACACAGTTTAAATATGGCATGGCTCCCAATCAGAGATAACGAGCCGACAGCTGACACTCGTTACCTCCGATTGGGAGTCATTTGACCAAACAAGGAAACACAACCAAATAGACAACCCAACCAAACAGAACACAACGAAACGAACACACCCTGGCTCAACATAAAAAGTCCCGGAGCCAGAGCGTGACAGTACCCCCCCCTAAAGGCGCGGACTGCGACCGCGCCTCAAAAACCCCAAACAGGGGAGGGCTGGGTGGGCATTACTCCTCGGAGGCGGCTCCGGCTCCGGGCTTGACCACCACCCTTCTTCAATCCCCCCGTAGCGCCCCCGGTCCGATCTGACCCAGCTGGTAGGATCTGGACTGACGACGCGCACCCCTGGCTTGGCGCGTGAGGCAGGAACGGACCGGACCTGGCTGACGATACGTACCCTAGGCTTGATGCGTGGAGCCGGAACGGGCCTCACCAGGCTGACGACTCGCATCCCTGGCTTGGTGCGAGTAGCAGGAGTGGGCTGGATCAGGCTGACGGCTCGCACCCTTGGCTTGGTGCGAGTAGCAGGGATGAGCTGAACCAGACTGACGACTCGCACCCTTGGCTTGGTGCGAGTAGCAGGAACGGGCTGGACCAGGCCGACGACTCGTACCCCTGGCTTGGTGCGAGTAGCAGGAACGGGCTGGACCAGGCTGACGACTCGCACCCTTGGCTTGGTGCGAGTAGCAGGAACGGGCTGGACCAGGCTGACGACTCGCACCCTTGGCTTGGTGCGAGTAGCAGGAACGGGCTGGACCAGGCCGACGACTCGTACCCCTGGCTTGGTGCGAGTAGCAGGAACGGGCTGAACCAGGCTGACGACTCGCACCCTTGGCTTGGTGCGAGTAGCAGGAACGGGCTGGACCAGGCTGACGACTCGCACCCTTGGCTTGGTGCGAGTAGCAGGAACAGGCCGGGCTGGGCTGGCGACGCACACCGTAGGCTCTGTGCGTGGAGCAGGAACAGGCCGGGCTGGGCTGGCGACGCCCACCGTAGGCTCTGTGCGTGGAGCAGGGACAGGCCGGGCTGGGCTGGCGACGCACACCGTAGGCTTTATGCGTGGAGCAGGAACAGGCCGGGCTGACGACGCACACCGTAGGCTCTGTGCGTGGAGCAGGAACAGGCCGGGCTGGGCTGGCGACGCACACCGTAGGCTTTGTGCGTAGAGCAGGGACAGGCCGGACTGGGCTGGCAACGCACCCCGTAGGCTTGGTGCGTGGAGCAGGGATAGGCCGAGCTGGGCTGGCGACACACACCGTAGGCTTTGTGCGAGAGGCAGGAACAGGCCGGACCGGGCTGGAGACGCGCACCGTCCATTTGGTGCGAGGGGCCGTAACAGGCCGGACCGTACTGGGGACACACACCACTGGCTCTACTCCGGGAACTGGAACGGGCCGGACCGGACTGGTAACACACCCCAGTACCTCTCGCCGTGCCTCTAAACCTCCTTTCCCTACTTTGACCAGTGGCCCCCGTAACCTGGTGGCCTTTTGAATTCGCCCCTTCTCTGCCTCCGTCAGCCCCGTCGTCCATGCCCTGTGCCCCCCCCTAAAAAATTATTGGGGGTGCCTCTCGTCCCTCCGACGCTGCTCCCACATCCAGGCTGCCGATTCCTGGACACGCTGCTTGGTCCTTTGATGGTGGGTTTTTCTGTCACGATCGTCTGACGAATGAGTAGACCAAAGCGCAGCGCGTTGAGCGAACATGACTTTATTTAATTAAAGCCTAACACGAAAACAACAAAACAAATGACGATACGTGAAGTCCACAGTGACAATGACTGTACAGGAACAAAAACCCACAAACACAAGGTGAAAACACACAGTTTAAATATGGCATGGCTCCCAATCAGAGATAACGAGCCGACAGCTGACACTCGTTACCTCCGATTGGGAGTCATTTGACCAAACAAGGAAACACAACCAAATAGACAACCCAACCAAACAGAACACAACGAAACGAACACACCCTGGCTCAACATAAAAAGTCCCGGAGCCAGAGCGTGACACTGAGGCTAAGACAGGGAAGGAAATCGTTATCCCATTTACTATCTGGCAGGACGTCTTTAAGGTAGATGTTGAAGACTGGATCCCACTTTACCACTGTCAAGTACAAATCATTTGAACATTTTAATTTAACTCTTTGTTTAATGCAAGACCACTTCTTAAGAAGTAAGTTACAATAGTTTTGGAAAGTGTTTTAATTTCACAATTCAGAACTAGCTGTCTTGCCAAATTGATGATGCCTTTGGGTGACATAAAGTAGGCCTATGATTAGTTATGCTTAGTTAAAATATAGTCGATGTGTGGATCATGGAATGAATTCCACTTAAGGGCTTGATTTGCTCCTCTGTCTTGTGACTGCCACTCTTTCAGGGCCTGTCTGATGGTTTCAACGAAGGTAAACTCATTAACCGGAGGCTGAGTGGAATTTTAAGGCCAACTCTGTTGAGTGAAATCTGTCATGAATTGTATGGAAACAAAAGAGCTCTCTGGTCCTGATTCTCATAATGCTTCCTGGCTGGGGAGCAGGGAGTTTGGCACGCTCCTGTCAATGTTTGGAAATCTGGACTCCGGCCTGAAATGTGGCACAAATACAAGCTGCATAAAGGTGTTTTACAAGGAGGCTTGTTGAAGGGAAACTAGAAGATCAGATCCGCTTGCAGTGGAAAGTTGTTGGCATAATTTCTGAGGGAAAAGTGTGACCAAAAGAGAAAGATAACGGGACTGTGGAGTCCCAGGCAACTGTAATAGCTATATGGGTTCAACATCAAACATCTGGGATCAACTGAAGGTAAATCAGATTTGTAACCCACTGCCACATAGCCACATACCAGCACAAGTTATCCCCCCCATAGAAAAATGTAGGACATAAAAAAATCTGAACACACACACACACACACACACACACATAGACATTGGACACTGACACACGTTACAATATGTTGGCAATGAGTGATACTGGAACTGTTTTACTCGGCCACCACAGTTTCAAAAAACACATTTTCTGTATGATATGTTGGTAAGTTATAGTAGCAGCAAGCCTTGAGTATGCATCATTAACTTTCATAGTGTTGCTTCTCACAAAACAGGGATTTTAGAAGGCCATATGTTTACAGTGCAGTTCATGTATTAACTCAGCAGTTTCTAACCATTGATGCAACCTGAATGCATTATACATGCATTCATTTAGGCTGTCTAGGGAGCCATGCTCTGTTGTGAATGCTTATAGCACAATTATAATGCACGATAGACTACTGCCTTTGTGTAATGCTAGATGACACTGAAAGTTAACAAGTTGTGCTCACCCTCATACTGTAGAATTTCTCCATTGTCTAGTGCACGTGCATGTGGTGAGAACGTCCCCAGAGGAACATTGACATGCACCACGTTTGGTCCCATTTATTAAAGAGGAGGGCACAGTAAATCCCCCGGCCCATGCCTATGGCGGTGGTTACCGTCGCATAGAAATCCTCTCTTTCACATCTCACCATAAGGCCAAAGTGTGTGTACTTTCTCCTTTTCAGGCCTAAATGACCGCTTAGCAGATAAAGGATTGTAATGAACGTCCCATTTGAAGGCAGGATCTTTTATGTTGTTCAATGGCTTCTCGTGAATCTGGTCTGTAAACCTCCTAGGTTTCTTAAGTATTTACAGCATAGGATTCATCCCTGTTAGCAACAAATTTGTCTTGGATTCTAAATATTGCTTTTTAAAGAGGTTTTGGAGAGATGTCTCATCATGCCCCTTCTGTGCTTGACCACATTACTTCCGTGCTTGACCACATTAGGACTTAGCTCAGTAGAAGGATTTCAATGGAAAGTGAAGCTAACAAAGTTTGGAGAATTACTGATATGTGTTGTAAAAGCATAGCAGGGACCTTGCCAAATCATTGTCCAAAGCTGGCCACAATAAATATTTAATGGGGTCCATTTCTGAAGTCCTCTCCAAGGCAGACTAGTGGCAACACAAGACGAGGCCAAATAAAATATAAGGTTCCTCAAATGAACTTTAACAGACCTGTAACATTCTAGATCAACTCTTAAAAACCGTCTCAGTAACAATGTGGTCTTGCAGGAGCTTTTTTTCCTATGACTCTTTTTCCACTCCTGGTTTCTAGTCTGCTTAACAATTGCGGGAACTTAATGTTTGTGTAAATAGCTTTAGTGTCTAATAAGAAGAGGTGGTGTGGGTTGAATTATTAGTGCTTTGCGGCAGCCAGGAGATCCACGTTTTAAAAACCGTGGCTCTCTGTGACCCTGATCCGGTCTTCTCAACCATGATCACATCACTAACACACAACACAGTTAATATCAAATTAGCGATTTGCTGCCACAATAATGCCAATAATGTCTTCTAAGCTGTACGCCATAGGCATTGAAAACTAGTTGCATAGATGGCTCTTCAGTTGTTGTTACTCTTTTTCACTTTTGGAAACAGCAGTCATATTGTCGTTTGCACTTAGATCTGTTCATATGGCTATGTGACGATACAATGAAAAAACATGTAATTTAAAAGACCTGTGGGCCTACTGGTTGACAACAATGTCAAAACCATTGAACAGTTCAGCAAATAAAAAGCGCCATGGTAATAAAAGCACAAAAGGCAAATCACTTCATAAACTCCCAGTACATGCCCTGCAGTAGGAGAAAATGGCAGTTTGTCTATGAATGGACTTTTCCTGTCTGTCTGCAAACCGCCAACCCCTATTCATAACATAATGGGGGAAAAATATGTCTAACCATTCAGACATGGCACTCCATAAATAACTGAAAGCTCTATAACATTTTAGGTATAATTTGATGAATACTTCTGAGATTGCTGTATTATTAGAAATATGTTTTTTAAACGGGGAGTGGTCTGTTGTGTATAGCTGGGAATATCCTCTTATATTCTCTCACTCATTAACTGTGAGAAAAAGCCCTGTTTACTTTGTTACGTTTGGCAAACGCAGCAGTGGGATAGCTCGCACCCTACACACAGCTTCACCATCCGCATTCAGGCGTGTTGGAGTGGGCGCATTAAAATGAGCTTTGGTCGCAAAGCAACAGGTTCTCAGGAGGAGAAAAATGTCAATGTCTGGCGAGATGGTGGCCAATTCACTGTGAGTAATGATGTGTTTTATTTACGCTGTCCCAAAAGAACACAATCTAGCCGCTGTCCATAAAGCGTAATTAACCGTTTAGCCTTAAACTCTCAGCCACAGATGACTGTCAGATAAATGTACACATTCATCCATCTTCCTAAGTCAACCTGTCCGGAGCTTCCAACTTTAATGAACCCCAGAGTTTGGACAACGATGCTATTGTTCTGATGAACCAGGGTGTTCAACAAGAGATCACTCAATGATTTTGAAGGCAGAGATTATCCCCAGTGTCAGTAAAACACCCAAACCTAGCTCTTACCACGGCTCAGATTGGCCAATCCCTGGAGGACACAACAACCTTTCTCAGGGGGATGCAGCCATTTCCTCCAAATCAACCCCCTGCACAGATCTCCATGTGTGGCATATGCTCACCAACCAGCTTCAGATAGTTTAATTGTAATTATATGTCTTTTGTACCCCCTCCAGCTCTGAAAGTATGGCCCATGCCACCTTTTCCAGGGCTAATGTGATTTGTCCTCTGGTAATGTACACTAATAAGGTTCTTAGACTCGGCCATATGTTTATGCTAGACAATGCTTACTGGGGAGGGCTTATGGCCGGCTTACAGGGAAAGCTGTCAGTGTGTGTTTAAGACCGAACAGGCTGAGCAGATGGAACACAGCACTCCCAGTGAGTCTTCGGGGCTTGTTATTTTGGACACTTAAGGGTTATTTAGGGTTCTCTCATTCACTCATTTGATCCCACCAATAACAAACCTTTTAGGCGCACAGGCTTAAATGCAATAATTGCATATTAGGGAGGAACTGAACATTGTTCTTCTCACGACCACTCCAGTCTCTTAGGTATAATTTAGAAATATCAAATAGACAGTTATGTTTTGGTCTCAGATGGCCAAATTGTCATGGAGCGAGCCTAGGGGGAATGCATTACACATAAAATGGTATTGCTTTTGTGATTGAATTAAAGTGGTGAGGAATCCTCATACTGCATTAGTGCTTAAAGTATTTATCTGAGGTGTTGTGTTTCTGCGTGTGAAATGGGCTATGATGACTCAATGTCTCTATCATTGACTTATTTATCCCGTACTGTAATGCCTGCCGATGGAATCTACACGGTTATCTGAAGACCATCAGCCAGTAGTCTTGGAAAATAAAAGTTAACTGTGGAGACAGGCCTCTGGTCAGGACTTAGCTTGGGCTTAGCATGTATCAACACTATTGCAGAGCTTGCTGACTCCACTATGAGTCTCGGGGCAATCCTTGTCTTGGAAACAAAGTACCATGAGGTAAAATATTTGCTGATTGAAAGAGCACATTTCTTGTGCCCAAACCCCATTTCTTCATGTTGTAATCTCCAAGACATATTTTGATTAAATATATACACTTTGAGCCAGTCGCCAAACAATGAGTGGCGTTTGCTGGCAAAACATTTTAGAATCACATCAAAGTCCCCCAAGTAATATATACAATTTATCTCCTAAAGATGTGAGCGGTGTTGTTGATATGTGGTGTGAGGTAAACTGATGTATAAAAGTGTAATCATCAGGACAGGAATGTCAGGTCAGAGCAGATTGTTTTCCTACACTCTTAGAAAAAAGGGTTCCAAAAGGGTTCTTCGGCTGTCCCCATAGGAGAACCCTTTTTGGTTCCAGGTACAACCCTTTTTGGTTCAATTTAGAACCCTTTTTGGTTCCATGTAGAACCCTCTGTAGAAAGGATTCTGCATGGAACCCAAAAGGGTTCTACCTGGAACCAAAAAGGTTCAACCTGGAACCAAAAAGGGTTCTTCAAAGGGTTATCCTATGAGGAAAGCCGAAGAACCCTTTAAGATTCTAGATAGCACCTTTTTTTCTAAGATTAACCCCGGTGTAAGATTATGCTAATGAGCCTAACTCAATTCCAATAGAGCAGAAGTGATATCTGACCTTTCCAGCTGCTCAAGTGTAGTAAACAAGGTTCAGCAGGTCGATTTCACCCTAGTCTTTTTAGTTGAATCTTAAGTTAAGACATTTTTTGAATCATGTAACTGTGCCTCATGTGATGGATAGTCAAGCCTTTTTCCAGTGGATGTAATGAAGTTAGGCCCTACCCTGGAGTATCACCGGAGATGGCACGAAAAAACATGGTGCGGTGTCATACTAGCTCGTAAATGGTGTCAAATACACAGAACTGCTGGTGCAGCAGGAAGAAAGAGCTCTCTGGGAACACGTTTTGCCTATGGAAACAATACTTTTTAACCACAATGAATGGCACCACCACCAGTGCTGCAGACATCACCAGCTCTCTTTCCATGGCACAATTATGTAATTTGTCATATATCGGCAGGCCAGACAATTGTTGCTTGCAGCCAAACCTACTGTATGCCTAGTTCTGCCATATCTCCCCCGGCTCAAGCCATTGGTCACAAGTGGTGGCAACGTTCACCATTCAAGTCAGCTTAATCATTGACCTTGATACTCTGGTTGCCAGATTCAAGTGCAGACTGTTTGGTTGAGATGCTGGCATTTTCAACAGCCATTTTTCTGGAGAGAGCATCCTATTGAAATGGCGTCACCTTCTCACTTTTTTATTCCAATCACAGTCACAATTATTGTCTTGTTATCAATATGGGTGGGATCTTAGCATTAGATTGGTGTGGGTGGTAGCCCTGTTCTCTTCCTCCCTTACTCAATGTCACAGAAGCAGTGATGGAATCTTTTCTCCTAACCAAAACTATGCATCATCACCATACTTTGCATACTTGTATTTGCACACAGTATTTTATTCCATGATGACTGAATCTGTGAGCCCACAGAATGTAACAAGAGATCTTCTGAACCATGTACACATTATGTACACACAGCAGGTCAACATGAAGAAACTTGTTATGTGATAGCAGTGATCCCCGGGAGGTTAAAGAGGTGGACAGTGGAGAGAGCAGGATGATGTGAGACTGATCCACACAGAAAGATGTGGAAAATACCTTGTTTGAACCTTGGCTGTCAACAAGGGTGAGTTCAGTGCAGGTTCAGGGTGAGAGAGGAGTGTTTAGTGGGGTTTAAGGCCGGGGGGGTGGGCTTTCTTCAGGCTTACCCATGGATTAGCTAGGGTAACAGAGTCCGTCCCTATCACCCAGCCCCTGATGCGCTGGTGGTGGGGTGCTTGGCACAGGGTCAGGAGTCAGACAAGTGCAACGACTGCTTCGGTTCTCCAGTGGCGGGGTGGCAGGCAGTCGTGCTGATGCCGTCTCCTCTCCTGAGTGGGTAAACAGGTTGTGACTTCACATCCTCCTGAAAAGGGAAACGTCTGGACGGAGGCCAAAAGTATCCCACCTAAAAAAAAAAAAAACACTGCTCCAAGACCATTGGCTTCCGTTTTTCAAAAGGGAACAATGCTCTGACTAGCAGGAGCCAATTCTATGTGCTGAAAAACATGAACACACCTTGGCTTTGGAGAACATTCTGTATTTTAACTAAACATGTTTTTCATTGAATTACTTTTCGATAAGTTAAACAGATATCCACGCTCCACTGAGTTAATGACTGTCGCAGACAAAGCCAATTGGTTTTAAAAGCCGCTAATCGGTCAAGGAGTTGCAGACCAGAACATCCTTAGCCGGCAACATTGCAGGGCTCTTACGAGTTGTTGTCTGTCAAACAGAGCTTGCCTGGAAACAGTAGCTCAGCATTCGCTACCTTAAACTGATGCAGACACCTCCTGACATGGATTAAGAGGATCAGTTGTAGAGTGGCAGCCATTTCATCTGCTTCCATAACAACCTGTGAAACAATGACTCAATCTGGTCAATCCTGTCACGTTGCACCCTTGTATGGGTGATGACACTAGGCATAGAGACCGACATGTAAATCACATCGGACCACTATTAAGCAGTTTGCTGACTCATATGTTTTGATACTGGTGCCACTGGTTATGTAATTTAATGATGACAATCCAATTTAATGCTATTTAGGTTATTCAGTGTTCCATGCATTTCATTTGGGGGGGGGGGGGGGGTCTTAAAAATTTTTATTGCCTTTGAATGAGCAAATACGTGAGTAAAGGCTGTCCAATTTTCTACTTTGAAACACCTTGCTTGAAATGATGTACTGCATGATTGTAAATGACCTTGTCATATGCTCTTTTCAAAGTCTAACAAGGCCTATATTAGCTAATAAACATACAATTGTGAAAATTAGCAACTTTTCTGAAGGGAAAGCAATGAATGACTCATCCTTGTAATGACTCACCAGTATAAAGATTATAGTTTGCGGTTTCTGCGCCTGGTATTTTGGGATAAAACTGTTGACTTTTTCCCTGTGTATGTTATCATTTATTTTGTGCTGGAATGCATTTTTTGTTTGGGCTGTTTGTAACAATTTGAAGTGTGTTTGTGCTAACAACTGCTGTGCTGATCATAGCGGCTGGATGCATGAAGGATTTATTTAAACCTGCAGGTATTAGATTAAAGTTATTTCATTTAACATAAGTATTTGGGAAGGATTTATTTCTTGCCCTGTTCTCTTCTGAATCTGGTTCTATGACAGCAGACATCACCCCACCGCTCATTAAATAAAAATAAGGCTCATCACCGTACCATAATCCCTTTGTCATCCAAATGAGCAGATAAGCGTTAGTTATGCAGCAAAGAGTTTATGAGCACGTGTTATTAATTAACATGATCTTTACATATCAAGAGAGCCCTCCTGGCTCTAAGGGATAGGCTCCATCTTGTCCCTCTGCATTACATTCTGGAGTTTCTTTATGTTTTGGTTATGCACAGGCTCCAGATCAAGAGAGATTATTCATGGTCTCTTTCCAAACGTTTATTTGTTATTGTATTATTAATCTGTACCTCTGCACAAGGTTAAATTATTTGATGTTAACAGCTGAATATACAGCTGCGTATTAGCCACAAGTTCATTGGTAACACATTACATTAACAGGCCATCTAAAGAGAAGTTGAAGGGGCAACTCAAGCCAGCAGATGTTTGAATTTCTCAGTATTTCTGCATTGCAGTTGGTTTTCATCTGCTATTGATTTCAATCCATCCCTCAGGGCCCAGAGAGCCTTATTTCGTCACTCGCTTGGCGAAAGAACGGTTAGATTTTTGCTGAAAATAGACATTTTCTGTTCTCTCGATTTCCACAAAGTAACTCACTGAGTGCTGCTTGCCTCAAAATAGATACCAGTACCTCAGCAACCAGATTAAATCTATGATATCCAAGACCCAGGGAAGGACACGTTCGAAAGATTCTGTTTCAGAGTTATTTAACTCTTTTGACGTGTTGTGTGTTGATGTGGCAGCATGGCTCAGAAAGCAGGACTGGTGGTGGCCGAAGACGTTTGCTGGATTAAATGCAGGGATCTTGTGGTACAGTTCCTGCAAGGATATAAATTGCTTCAGCATGTAAACGATAAACCCGCATAATAAGTCATCTTTCATACAAAATGATATTCTAACTGCGTTCATATGGAACTGCCTTAGGTATTTCAAATAAAGAGTTTGCTCTTGGTCCTTTGATATCCTCTCATTCCCTTTATTTGTTCTTCCCCTTTTATGACCAGGCTCTCCTCCCCTGAGTGGAACGGGTACAGTCACCGTCTTGGTAGATGACGTCAACGACAACGTCCCTGTGTTCACCTCATCCACCTTCCACACCACCATCCCAGAGGACGCCCCCACCGGCACCGACGTGCTCCTGGTCAACAGTTCCGACGCAGACGTGGGCCTCAACGGTATCATAAGGTACATTCCAGAGCCAGACGCCCACCCCACTCCATCCCTAAGGTCATAGGCGGGCTCCTGTACCCCAAGCCGGACATTTTACTCAGATCCGACCCCCGCCTGTTCACCCTCCCCTCGCCCCGGTACCCCCATTGGGGAGGCGCAGGGGGTACGGCAACTCGCCCCACTTTCCCAAAACATCGTAATGAGGATATTAATTGGCTATGACAGAAGTAGTATCAGAGGTTCCACGGGTTCTAGGACTTACTGGAAATCAGAACCAGTTGCCATCAGTTATTAGTTTCCATGCTCACAGTCCATTAACTTGGGCTTTTTTTTACTTCTGCTTCTGGACTGTTTGAACCACTTCTGGTTGTGAACAGTTTGGTTGTTTGCTGTCCCAATAAGTCTGTGTTCCATCTGTGTTCACACTTTATTCCATCATTTGTCACCAGTTTCAGGGGAAATGCTTTTCTAGGAAGCCTTTTCAAAATATGTGCTCTTGTGTACATGTATATGTCAGTATACGTTTGTGTCTGCGACTTACTGGAAACTTCTGAAAAGTTAAGTGAAACACTATCCTCTTTGGGAAACCAAAAAAGTATGGCTCTTTGGTCATAAATAATTCTGGGGTGTCTCCAACCCTGAACTTCAGCACAGAGAAGCTTGAATTAGAAGCCTCTGTGAGAATGAAAAAATACAGGAGAAAATAGATTGAGTAACTTGGATAGAATATTAAGATGGATACCTTAAGAATTGGGTAATGCTTTGCGCGATAGATGGTGCTTTCTTCAAACCACAGAAACAGTAAGGAAGTTATATTACGTCTGTGTTTTTCTATTAAATGTACTCTCTGCCTCTTTAAAGCTTGAAACAGTGCCCTCCATATGATTATTATGGCAATGCTGATCAAGAGCTTTAATCCAGGCATTTGCAGTACCACAGTATGTGCAGCATATTAATGTCTGTATAATGTGTACGAAACTACTCCTTCCAGTAACAGTATTCAAATATGATATTCTGGACATGTAATATACCGCTGTAAATGTTACATAAATAAATCAAACTCAAATGCACAATGAAATGCATTTAATCTGAAACGGTATAAATCTTGCCCTAAAACATGTCCTCTTCTGTGTGTCCCTACAGTTACAGCTTGACTGGAGGCAACGGTCAGTTTTCCATTAACCCAGCTACAGGCCAGATCATCACCAGCTCCCTACTGGACCGGGAGGCCAGGGCCAACTACCAGCTCCTAGTTGTGGCCACAGACGGAGGGCAGACCCTGGGCATGTCCAGTTCCGCCACTGTGTCGGTGGTGGTGGCTGACATCAACGACAACCCTCCCCGCTTCCACCACCACCCCTACGTCACACACATCCCCGCCTTCACCTCAGCAGGTGGGTTCAGATTTGATACATTCATCTTAATTTCAAATATGAATGTTCTTCTATATCGAATTATATCATGCTTATACAGTATAATATATGATTATAAAATTAAAGTGTACAGTATATGAACTCCTATGAAAATATTACTTTTGTGAAAAATATTGATGATGAAGTGAATATCAGTTATACTTATAGTAGTTATTCTGAAGTATTTTGTCTCATTTTGTATTTTTCAGGCAACTTGGTATTCGCTGTGACGGTGACAGATGACGACGCTGGACTCAATGCTCAGCTCCACTACTCTCTAACTGGCCGCAACTCTGACAAGTTCAAGATTGACCCCATAAGAGGAGCCATTACAGCCAATGAGAGGTTGACAGGCAGCTCGGAGGTTACCCTCACTGTCCGAGTGAAAGATGGCGGAAGCAATCCCAAAACAGACTCAACCACTGTGACTGTCCGGTTTGTGACTGGGGGAGACTTCCCTGTCATCAAGTTGAAGGATACTACTTTCACATTTCCAGAGAGCCAACCCACAAACACGATTGTTACCACAGTGACCGGGTCCTCGACACGGGGCGGGGCCCTATCATACTACATCGCCAGTGGAAACCTGGATAATGCCTTTCACATCGACCAGTTGACAGGAGAGCTGTCAATCAAACATTCACTGGACTTTGAACACATTCAGAAATATGTGCTCTGGATTGAGGCCAGGGACCAAGGATTCCCCCCCTATTCCTCCTATGAGAAAGTGGAGATCACAGTGCTGGATGTAAACGACAACCACCCTGTATTTGACAGGGAACCATTCCATGCAGAGATACTAGAGAACCTGTCCCCTCAACGGGTGCTCATGTTGTCTGCCATGGATCAGGACAGCGGCCCTAACGGCCAGCTGGAATATGCCATTATCGACGGCAACAAGGAGAACAGCTTCAGCGTCAATCGGGCCACTGGTGAAATCCGAACGACCAGGCCTCTTGACAGGGAAAAACTATCTCAATATGCCCTGAAAGTGAAGGCCACAGACCGTGGCAATCCTCCCAAAAGCACAGCTGTGAAAGTCCTGATCAACGTATTAGATGTGAATGATAACGCTCCCAGGTTCTCTAAGATCTTTAGCGCCACAGTGCCCGAAAACGCCCCAGTGGGGTACACTGTCACCAGGGTTACAACCACAGACGAGGACGCAGGTGCTAATGCCATAAGCAAGCATTCAATCACAGACACAAGTCTACCGTTTACTATCAATCCAAGTACTGGAGACATAACTATCAGTAGACCTCTCAATAGGGAAGACACTGATCATTACATTGCCAAAGTCTCTGCCCATGATTCTGGCTGGACAGTTAGCACGGATGTCACAATATTTGTAACGGATGTAAATGATAATGCCCCCCGATTCAGTCGGCCATCTTACTACCTGGACTACCCTGAGCTTACAGAGGTGGGGTCACTCGTTACTCAGGTGTCTGCAACTGACCCCGACGAGGGTGTCAATGGCAAAATATTCTATTTCATCAGGTCCCAGTCTGAATATTTCAGGATCAATTCAAGCTCTGGAGAAATCTTTATCAAGCAGCATTTAAAATATCAAAACTCAACTGGCAGCAACATAAACATAAATCGGCACAGTTTCATCATTACTGCTTCAGACCGTGCGACCAAGCCATTGATGAGTGAAACTACAGTCATTGTAAACATACTAGATAGTAATGACAATCCACCCAAGTTCGAATCCTCTAGCTACTTTACCCCTGTCACTAAAAGCGTCAAAGTTGGCACCAAACTTATCAGGGTCATAGCTCTTGACAAGAAAGATTTTGGCCTCAACTCTGAGGTGGATTACATAATATCAGGAGGGAACAGCACTAGCAAGTTCAAGCTGGATATACAGAGTGGATGGGTCGCTGTCGCCTCCTCACTCACCTCAGATATGAACAAGGTGTTCCTCATGGATGTTACTGCCAGAGACAAAGGGAACCCCCCTCTGAGTGCTAGAACCACTGTAAAAGTGGCAGTCACTGAGGAGAACCACCACACACCGGAGTTCTCCCAAAGCCAAGTCACAGCTACCATACCTGAGAGCCTTGCCGTGGGGACAGCCATCAGGACGCTCTCTGCCAGGGACAAGGACAAAGAGATGAACGGGCATATCACATACAACATCACTTCAGGCAACGACAAGGGCCAGTTTGCCATGAACAGTAAAACAGGAGTCCTATCTCTGGCCAATCATCTGGACTTTGAGGAAAAGCAAAAGCATGAGCTCAGAGTGACAGCCACCGACGGGGGATGGATCGCAAAGACCAGCTACGTCATGGTCACAATCCATGTGACCGATGTGAACGATAACCCACCTATATTTGATCCTGATGAGTATTTCCCTGTGGTACAGGAGAACGTTCCCAGTGGCACCACAGTGGTGAAAATGAATGCCACAGACAGAGATTCTGGGCCGAATGCCGTCATGGCTTACGTGATCCAGTCCTCAGACAGTGACCTCTTTGTAATTGATCCAAACACAGGCATAATCACCACCCAGGGTTTCCTGGATTACGAGGCCAAGCAGGTCTACCACTTAACAGTGAAAGCCTTCAATGTCCCAGACGAGGAGCGCTGCAGCTTCGCCAATGTCAACATTCAGCTCAAGGGAGCCAATGAATACGTTCCCCGCTTTGTCTCCAAGCAGTATTACTTTGAAGTCTCTGAAGCAGCTCCAAGAGGCACAGTGGTGGGAGAGGTGTTCGCCAGTGACCGCGACCAAGGACAAGACGGAGTGGTTTACTACCTAATTTTTGGGAAGAGCAGAAGAAAGGGCTTCAGCATCAACAGAAAAACTGGCCAGATCTATGTCACAGGTCCCCTTGATCGTGAGAAAGAGGAGAAGATCTCCCTCAAAGTCCTGGCGAAGAATGCGGGAAGCATCCATGGGGCAGATATCGACGAGGTCTTTGTGAACATCACGATCCTGGATGCCAATGATCCTCCTGTTTTCAGCCAGGAACTCTATGATGTTCAGATCAGTGAGGGTCTTTCCCCTGGCGGTCTGGTCACCTTCGTTAGTGCACAGGACTCTGACTCTGTCCCAAGCTGGAGCAGATTCTCGTACTCCATAGCCTCAGATTTAGAGAAAAACGTCTTCACCATCAACCCCCAGACTGGCCAAGTATCTGTAGCAGCTGAGCTGGACAGGGAAACCACTCCTGTGTTCAGCCTGACTCTGCTAGCTGTGGACTCTGGCTCACCCTCCGCAACTGGAAGTGCCACCCTGGTTGTGAATCTGGAGGACATTAATGATAACGGTCCTACTCTGAAGACGGTGAGGGCAGAAGTCATGGAGAACCAGCGAGCTGGGACAGATGTCGCAACTCTTACTTCAACTGACCCAGACCTGTCACCCAATCAAGGTCCATTCTCATATAGTCTGCTCAGCGCCGGCTCGGCCAGTAACTACTTCAGCCTCAGCCCCGCTGGAGTGCTGACCACCAGTCGAGAGATCGACAGGGAACAGATCAGCGACTTTTACCTGTCTGTGGTTATCAAGGACTCCGGTGTCCCTCAGATGTCCTCCACTGGAACGGTCCACGTAAAAGTAAATGATCAGAATGATAACCCGTCAGAGCCGCGCTCCGTGGAGATCTTCATCCACTATTTCGGAAACATGTTCCCCGGAGGATCCCTCGGGGTTGTGAAGCCCCAAGACCCAGACATACAGGACAGCTTCCACTGCTCCTTGACTCCTCCTTCATCCAGTCTGTTCACCATCCCAACGGGCACCTGTGACCTCAACTCAAAGGCCCGCTCAACAGACGGAACATTTGAATTAGCTGTCCGAAGTAGTGATGGTGTCCACGGCTCTGTCAGCAGTAACGTCCGGGTCTTCTTCATGGGGTTCACCAATGCCACTGTGGACAACAGTATCCTGATTCGCCTCCGTACCCAGGGGGTCACCACCTTCCTCACCAATCACTACCTCAGCTTTGTGCGCATCGCAAACTCACAGCTGGCGGGGCTAGGCACTGGAGTACAGCTGTATGGCGCCTTTGAACTCAACAACCAAACTTTCCTGATGGCTGCCATAAAGCGCAGCCACGGACAGTATGTCAACCCCAGTGGAGTGGCCACCTTCTTTCAGAGCATCAAAGATGTTCTGCACAGGCAGAGCGGGGTGCAGATAGACTCAGTGGATCACGACCCCTGCACACGTAACCCATGCCAGAATGGGGGCAGCTGCAAGAGGCGCCTTAGTGTGGGGCCAGATATGAAGACAGCGGAGAGTGTCCCGGTGATCCTCGTCTCAAACCACCCCCTTCAGCCCTACGCCTGCAGTTGCAGACCAGGGTACGCAGGGGCGCTGTGTGAGACGGATATAGACGAGTGCCTGCCGTCTCCGTGCCACAATGGCGGGACCTGCCACAACCTGGTGGGGGGATTCTCCTGCACCTGCCCAGAGGGATTCACGGGCATGGCCTGCGAGAGGGACATCAACGAATGCCTCTCCAACCCCTGCAAGAACGGGGCACTCTGTCAGAATTACCCTGGTGGATTCAACTGCCTCTGCAAATCCGGCTTTGCAGGTACCGTACACCACCTTAGGAGCCATTTAGATTTTATGAGCAACACAACCACAGATGTTCAGCTAGGCTCAAGTATACACACACTGCACATGACTCACGTTTTTTTGTCCAAGTACAATATTTGCCTCCAAACTAATGCAAGAGGTGTTGTAACCCTAGCATACAGGCCTGACTGCCAAAACCCAAAAACATTTTGGTTTTATGATTACAAGTTGGGGGGTATCAGCTTTGATGCATATCAGCTTGTCATGTTTACTTTAATAAAAAGGATGATGCGAAATTGACCCCAGTAAGGGCCTTACTGTGGACTGCACAGAGTTCAGTAGTCTCATATAGTCTCATATTCCTCTGCATGCCTTTCTTTCTACAGTACTTAAGCATATTTTTGATATTTAGGGCTCTGCTCATCTTTCATTTGGTCAAACATTGAGAGGTTTAGTATGTATTAAAGATTGCTCCTTCTAGATCCTTAAAGATACAAATATTTTTGAAAAGTGAACTAAAGAGAACTAGCTACTCTCTTTTTGTGTAAATCACTCCCTCCCTGCTTGAATGTTGATGGTGTGATAAATACAATAATATTAATCTTAATGAAGGGAGTGCACATGGATAACCATAAATGAGAACAGTAGTTTGAATCATGTCTGTTTGGCCAGCTGCTGGCTGTAGTGGCTGATAGATACTTCCACTGATCAACAGCAGACATTTTGCCTAAGCATCAGTCTTTTTTTATTATGACCATAACAAATTACCACAAACCTTGTCGTTTCATCAAGATGAATGGCCCTCTTGAAGAATTGCACCTTTTGACTTACAGAAGTTTGCATGCCCTCACGTTGAACTCCACACTTCCTGTTTTCCCTGCCTGGTTGTGGTGAAAGAATGTATCTCCTTTAAGCTATTTGTCTCATGGTGCAGGAGTCAGTGCCTAAAAATACATAAAGCTGCAGGTCATTGTCAGTGTTGCCCCTTGCATACCTTGTTCTGTCTGTTATTGTACTGTCTTATATTAGTGATCATATTTTCATCATGCTTTAGTTCATTGGCCTCAGAGATCCATTGAAGAGTCTACCGTTCTAAAATCTCTCTCTATATATTTAAACCCTGTCGTAGACCCCCTGTGATTTTCAACTTCAATGACAGGGTGTCATAGGAAGAAAAAAAACATGAACTGTGTTTGCCCCCACATCTTCCTGTCAACCCCACCTCGTTCATTTTAATTTGTGTTGTTTTGTGAACCCAGGCAAAACGTGTGATTCCATCATCAATCACTGTGAGTGTAACCCATGTTTTAATGGCGGCTCCTGCCAGAACAGAGTGGATGGCTATAACTGTCATTGTCCATTTGGTAAGTATTGACTTAGAGGAAACCGCTACGTGATTGAAAACTATCTGGATTGGCAAAATGACTGTTGCTATCCCCAGTGTAATGAATTGTATGTATCCATGTCACATTTATTCACATACTGTATGTTGTGTAACTGTTTCTCTATTCTAAGCATGATACCCTTATTGTTAGCCTATGATAGCGGATGGTTCCCAGATATGTGCTGCTTTTATAGATGCTGTATGGTGAATTATTCATGACATCCCTGTTTCATTTATTCATTCCTTTCCTCCTCAGGGGTCTTTGGAAAACACTGTGAACTCAACAGCTACGGCTTTGAGGAGCTGTCCTACATGGAGTTTCCGAGCCTGGATCCCAACAACAACTACATCTACATCAAGTTTGCCACACTAAAGAGCAACGCTCTCCTCATGTACAACCATGACAACCAGACCGGAGACAAGGCGGAATTCCTGGCTCTGGAGATCTTTGAGGGACGGATGCGCTTCTCGTTTAACTTGGGAAGCGGGACCTATAAACTAATCACCATGATAAAAGTTTCAGATGGACAGTTCCACACTGTCATCGCAAGGAGAGCTGGAATGGTGAGAGGCATTTTTGTTATATATGGCTTTATTACCAAGCTGTTTTTATTTGTTTTGCACCCTAAACAGTTGGAAAATATATTGTATTTGAAGTCTTAATGGTTTTATGGGCCTATAATGGCAAAGATGTAGAGTAAAATCCTAAAGCCCCCACATGTAGGCCTATATAGAAGTCTAGCTTATGTTTCAACAGCAGTTATGACCTCCTGGGTTTTTATAGCTGAGAGCAGCATCCAAATTTGGCATCATATTCTTTTTTTGCACCGTGAGATGATAATTAAACTACCCACACACTGGTAGTTCTGCATATAGCTTTCATAGTTGTAATTATATTTGATTGCTTGTTGTGATTTACAATATGGCCTCCAAAATAGCCTCAGACTCTGAAATTCCTTGTATTTCCTCCGAATGTAGTTGTTTCTCTGCCAGTTGTTCAATGGTATGGAGAAAAAAATCACCAGCCTGTCCACAGAGTTGTATAAGTCTCCTGCTGGACTTCAGATTTGTCATTGCACTGGGATTTCATAGGAAATTGGTAAAATCATTAAACTGTCAGCTTGGAGAGAGTGACAGGATAGACAGGTACACAACATGCAGTTAGAAATACGATGCACTACAAATATTATGAGTAGGTTGAGGAACTACCATGTTGAGGCTCTTAACCGAGCTAGAAGAACGAAAGCAGAGCGTGCATCTGCCCGCATTTCAGGCACGGGGGGGGGGAGTATTTTTCTCCGCTCTGCTGCCAAGTTTTTTTTCTTCCGATTTATCAGGGGGTGCTGTGCAGCATCCTCAGCACCCCTACTTCCCGCGGCTGTGCCTGTGAAGGCCATTTTTCAGTTCCTCCACTTTTGGATTCTGAGCAGATGTGATAACCAGACCTAGTAATGTAGGACACACCGGGAGAGTCAAGGACACTGTTGTATATATGAAATATTTCTAGTACCAAAGCTGCACCCGCAAGCATAATTATTGCCTACTCTGTTATTACTTCTCCTTCTCCTCCTCGCAGGATCCTGGACGTTGGGCCAACCGGCTCTCGGTGGAGGCGTCAGGTCAATAGAGCCCGTCCTTCATCGCCGTGGCCAGGTCGCCACCCACGACTTTGTGGGCTGCATCATGGAGTTCGCCGTCAACGGCCGCCCACTGGAGCCCAGTCAGGCCCTGGCGTCCCATGGCATCCTTGACAGGTCTAGCGCCCTCCCTACCTCTTTCTTTCCTCCATCCTTCCATCCTACTCAACCCCCTAACTCCCAAACTCTCCCAGCAGGATATCTGGTCATTCACTGTAGCGCTCAACCCTCAAGAACCTCTGAAGAGCCATCTTTGATATAAATAGCAGACGTACAGTTTTTTGGAATAGTACTCGTAGAATTGTAGAATGGAGATTCTTTCTTTTAGTTTGTTGTGAATAGTGGTGAAGACAGATCTTTTAATATGCTAATTCCCTAGGTTTTTTATGTTTTTTGTATTGGGGGAGTTGCATCTTCCAGATCCTATAGAGGGCCCGCTGTCCACCATGGTGGCTGACTTGTCTGTCTGTCTGTCTGTAGATGTCCCAGACTGGAGGGAGCCTGCACAGCCAACCCCTGCAGACATGGGGGCACCTGTATTGACTACTGGTCCTGGCAGCAGTGCAAATGCATGGAGGGCTTCACCGGCAAATACTGCGAGAAATGTAAGAATCCCTTTGGAGGGGAATTTTGGCTGACTGTGCTTGCAGTCTGAGTCATACACTTCTTGTGAATTTGACCATCAATCAGATAAATATTGTATCATTTCCTTTGACTTACCCTGACTTGTGCTTTTCATTCTTGCATAGACATCACGGCCGACACGGCTCTCTCGCTGGACGGGACTGGTCGGCTTGACTACGCCATGCGCCAGAGCCCCAAACGGGACGTCCTGCTACGCCAGAGCCTCATGGGCTTGACCTCTGACCTCTCTGGGCCCAGCAGCCTTGAGATCAAGTTCCGCACCCGCAGCAAGAGTGGCACCCTACTCCATGTCCAGGAGAGCAGCAACTACACCACCATCAAGGTAAAGGGAGGCTCCATGGAGCGAAGCCAGAGACATGCTAGAATGTGTCTGCTGTTCCCAAAGCATCCAGAGGCACAAATGAGCGTACACACAGGCATGTTAGTATATTTGTCTGTTTCTCCATCTGCTACTTGGTCGTCATCTTGAGATCCACATGTAAACATGTCACACATACACCTAGTCCTCCCTTAACCCCCCACCCCTGAGTCAAAGCTATAAGGGGACCTGTCTTCATCACCTCCTCCCATTACCCTTATATATACGTTCCATACGTTACTTCAATCTGCTGCTATACACTTCAAGGCTCTGAGTGATCCGGGGCAGCTGCCCAAGGGCCTCGCATTCATCCACTTCCATTTTCCCCCAGTCCGCTTCCTTTCCTCCAGGACACACCGAGTCTCTCTGGTTATGTTTTCCGGTGCAGAGCAGGCCCCCAGAATCCCTCCTACCACTACTACTATACAGCCCAAAGAGCAATATTGAATGTACTGTGTGACCCTAGAAAAGAATATGTACAGGAGTATAAATAATGTAAAAGAGATAAGTTAAATTGGTTCTACAAATCTCTTTTCCTGTGTTTTTGGCTTTCCAGATTTTGTCGTGGACCTTTAAAATCAATTCCTCCTGAAGCTACTTATCATTGCTGAAGTTTTGTTTCTTTGAAGGGGAAGCAAAGAGATTGCATTTCCACTTTAGGCTGAAATGTATGAGATTACCATACACAATGCCTGGCACACATTCATTTTCTAAGACAAAGTTATATTGGTTCATTACTTTTATACGATTAGCTCTATTGCGTATGGATATAGTTTATGCATATTGAAAGTAATACTATTAAATGGTCCTGTATACATAACATGATCATAATAATAATATCAGTCTGGTTCACTGGTATTTGGCACATGCAACCTTTTCCACTGCACTGCAACTAGGGTTGCAACCAGAGGAAAAAAAACTCTAGACCACCTTTACTTCACACACAGAGACGCATACAAAGCTCTCCCTCGCCCTCCATTTGGCAAATCTGACCATAACTCTATCCTCCTTATTCCTGCTTATAAGCAAAAACTAAAGCAGGAAGCACCAGTGACTCGGTTAATAAAAAAGTGGTCAGATGACGCAGATGCTAAGCTTCAGGACTGTTTTGCTAGCACAGACTGGAACATGTTCCGGGATTCTTCAGACAGCATTGAGGAGTACACCACATCAGTCACTGGCTTCATCAATAAGTGCATCGATGATGTCGTCCCCACAGTGACCGTACGTACATACCCCAACCAGAAGCCATGGATTACAGGAAACATCCGCACTGAGCTAAAGGGTAGAGCTGCCGCTTTCAAGGAACGGGACTCTAACCCGGACGCTTATAAGAAATCCCGCTATGACCTCCGACGAACCATCAAACAGGCAAAGAGTCAATACTGGACTAAGATTGAATCGTACTACACTGGCTCTCACATTTTCAACATGTCCCTGACTGAGTCTGTAATACCAACATGTTTCAAGCAGACCACTATAGTCCCTGTGCCCAAGGACTCTAAGATAACCTGCCTAAATGACTACCGACCCGTAGCACTGACGTCTGTAGCCATGAAGTGCTTTGAAAGGCTGGTCATGGCTCACATCAACAGCATTATCCCAAAAACCCTAGACCCACTCCAATTTGCATACCGCCCCAACAGATCCACAGATGATGCAATCTCTATTGCACTCCACACTGCCCTTTCCCACCTGGACAAGAGGAACACCTACGTGAGAATGCTATTCATTGACTACAGCTCAGCATTCAACACCATAGTGCCCTCTAAGCTCATCACTAAGCTAAGGATCCTGGGACTAAACACCTCCCTCTGCAACTGGATCCTGGACTTCCTGACGGGCCGCCCCCAGGTGGTAAGGGTAGGTAACAACACATCTGCCACACTGATCCTCAACACGGGGGCCCCTCAGGGGTGCGTGCTCAGTCCCCTCCTGTACTCTCTGTTCACCCATGACTGCATGGCCAGGCACGACTCCAACACCATCATTAAGTTTGCCGACGACACAACAGTGGTAGGCCTGATCACCGACAACGATGAGACAGCCTATAGGGAGGAGGTCAGAGACCTGGCCGTGTGGTGCCAGGACAACAACCTCTCCCTCAACGTGACCAAGACAAAGGAGATGATTGTGGACTACAGGAAAAAAAAGAGGACTGAGCACGCCCCCATTCTCATCGACGGGGCTGTAGTGGAACAGGTTGAGAGCTTCAAGTTCCTTGGTGTCCACATCACCAACGAACTATCATGGTCCAAACACACCAAGACAGTCGTGAAGAGGGCACGACAAAGCCTATTCCCCCTCAGGAGACTGAAAAGATTTGGCATGGGTCCTCAGATCCTCAAAAAATTCTACAGCTGCACCATCGAGAGCATCCTGACTGGTTGCATCACCGCCTGGTATGGCAACTGCTTGGCCTCCGACCGCAAGGCACTACAGAGGGTAGTGCGTACGGCCCAGTACATCACTGGGGCCAAGCTTCCTGCCATCCAGGACCTCTATACCAGGCGGTGTCAGAGGAAGGCCCTCAAAATTGTCAAAGACTCCAGCCACCCTAGTCATAGACTGTTCTCTCTGCTACCGCACGGCAAGCGGTACCGGAGTGCCAAGTCTAGGTCCAAAAGACTTCTCAACAGCTTCTACCCCCAAGCCATAAGACTCCTGAACAGCTAATCATGGCTACCCGGACTATTTGCACTGCCCCCCCACCCCATCCTTTTTACGCTGCTGCTACTCTGTTAATTATTTATGCATAGTCACTTTAACTCTACCCACATGTACATATTACCTCAACTACCTCAACTAGCCGGTGCCCCCGCACATTGACTCTGCAACGGTACCCTGTATATATAGCCTCCCTACTGTCACTTTATTTTACTTCTGCTCTTTTTTCTCTCAACACTTTTTTTGTTGTTTTATTTTTACTTTTTTTGTTTAAAATAAATGCACTGTTGGTTAAGGGCTGTAAGTAAGCATTTCACTGTAATGTCTGCACCTGTTGTATTCGGCGCATGTGACCAATAAAATTTGATTTGATTTGATTTGATTTGATTTGCAAAGCTACTGGTAATTTACCAAAGTTACTGGAATCTTCAGTAATTTTGGTAATTAACAGCAAATCAATGGCAATCTATCGTAATTTTGAATAACTAAAAAAATATATGTATATATATATAGTGTTCATTTATTATATCTGTGTCCATATTGTCCTTGATTTTCTAGTAGGTAGACCATATGGTTCAAGAGACAATAGCCTATTTAATGAAAAAGCATCTAATGAACAATGGCATCCATTTCTGCAAACTCTTCCAACTGTTTTTTTTTGACATAGTAAAATAAATAAAAGTTTGTAAAACTATTTTTATAACGGACGTTTCATGCTAAAACCCTCATATACTGGTCCCGTGTAGCTCAGTTGGTAGAGCATGGCGTTTACAACGCCAGGGTTGTGGGTTCATTTCCCACGGGGGGCCAGTATGAAAAAACAAACAAAAAAAACTCACTAACTGTAAGTCGCTCTGGATAAGAGCGTCTGCTAAATGACAAAAATTTTAAACAAAATAAACAAAATAATTTAAATGTATATACCAATGGTATTCACTAAATTGATGGTTTATATTTAGGATAATGTTTTACAGCTTTGTCATTCTATTTTGTATTATTTAATTATTGAATATATTTTACGTGATAAAGCCACACAGAGGGCCAGAGATTATTACGGACACCTGTCATAATCTGAAGTACCCAAAAGGGCCACTAGATGTCTAATGATAGATTACATAACATTCTTTAAAAATACAAGAATTCTGGTAGTTTACTGGTAACCTTCTAAAGTTTCCAGTATTACACCCTCCCTTTGCACACCTAACTGCAACAGTTGTTGTTGTAAAGGAAAATGTGTTTTCAATCAACTGTCCTACCTGGTACATTAACAATACTGTACATAAATAGATTATTAGTATTCCAAAACAAGAACTCCAACTGAAATGAAACATCAACAACATCCTTGAGTTGAGAATTATCAGAGCCTGAGCATATACAGTAATCATATCGTCATGCTGATCCATTTCTCCAAGCTCTCCTTCTCAACAAACATGTACAATACAGTATCTGTCTGTCTGTCTGCCTGTCTGTGTCCTTCTGTCTGTGCCCGTCTGTCTGTGTCCGTCTGTCTGTGTCAGTCTGTGTCCGTCCGTCTGTGTCCATCCGTCTGTCTGTCCACGTCTATCTATCCATCCATCTAACTTAGTCTCTGTCTCTTCCCCCAGCTGAAAAACGGCAATGTCCAATACATCTCTGATGCGGGCGTGGGGGGCAAGGTGGAGAGGACCCTGGGGGAGATGGTCCTATCAGACGGCCAGTGGCACGTCCTGCAGATCTTCAAAAATGGCTCAGCCACCTCCCTTCACGTGGACGGAGCCCTCCTCAAATTCATCCAGCACCCCACCCAGGACTTTGGGGGTCTTAACGTCCTGACCATGTCCCTCGGTGGTGTTCCCTCTGGGCCCACCCAGCAGAAAATTGCATTAGGTGAGTTGGTGATGTGTGAAGTTGCTGTTATTCTCATATACACTGAGTGTACAAAACATTAGGAACACCTTCCTAACATTGAATTGCACCCCCGCTTTTGCCCTCAGAACAGTCTCAATTCATCGGGGCATGGACTGTACAAGGTGTCAAAAAGTGTTCCACAGGGATGCTGGCCCATGTTGACTCCAATGCTTCCCACAGTTATGTCAAGTTGGCTGGATGTCTTGGGTGGTGGACCATTCTTGATACACAGGGGAAACTGTTGAGTGTGAAAAACCCAGCAGCGTTGCAGTTCTTGTCACACTCAAACTGGTGCGCCTGGCACCTACTACCATACCCTGTTCAAAGGCACTTCAATCTTTTGTCTTGCTCATTCACCTTCTGAATGGCACACATACACAATCCATGTCTCAATTGTCTCACGGCTTAAAAATCCTTCTTTAACCTGTCTCATCCCCTTCATCTACACTGATTGAAGTGGATTTAACAAGTGACATCAATAAGGGATCATAGCTTTCACCTGGTTTCACCTGGTCAGTCTGTCATGGAAAGAGCAGGTGTTCCTAATGTTTTGTACACTCAGTGTAGTATGTGAATGGTAGAGACCTTTTTCACTGAATAAAAGGTATTCTGTTGGCCATATTAGGTGGTGTTCCAGTCCTGATGTCTGCTGTAAATTGGGTTTTTGACATTGGACACCTATTTGCCTGTGAGATATTTACAGTAGAAGAGAGTTAATGTTGCTCTCTTTTACGGATCATTTCTAGACAATAACTAATGTGAAAGTAGTTTGATTAGGTGGGAGAGCCCCACCTTTAATGCTTTAATGTTTTCATCTTATTGCCCTGGAATCTCGGCTTTGGTTAGACCTAAATCACGTATCAAATGTCCTCAACTTTGACTTGAAAATAGTTTGGATAGGGTGAACGAGAGGGCTTCCAGAGGGAGGGATACACCACTGTAAATTTCTGACTTTTAGGGGCAAGAAAATGACTTAATACTATGGACTGGACTAATATGGTAAGAAATTAGCAATTTGAATGATTTGTTGGCGTCTTTCACACAGCAAGGTCCAGGATATATTTCAAAATAAACACTCTCTGAACACGCAGCTCTATGGCAGGCTGCCTTGCCTAGCACAATGATAATCTGGTCCCGGTTTCTTGGGGCCACGCCTGCACCAAATAGGACCTGACCCTCGCTCAATATGCGTATCGAAGCAGTTGTGTTCTGGTGTGCATTCAACTAGTAAGGATATAATGAATAGGACAAAATTGTTTTCATTTATATTGGGATAAATTCAATATGTTTACATCTGTGAGGGAACATTGTGAGGCAATATGAAAGCGAAGGTTTGAATTAGTCACCAAAACATTTCTTCCACATGGATGTCTTGAAGTGATATGAGGTCTGAAGATAGATTGTCTGGAATCGACTTCCCACGTTTTAGTCAATAATCATATTGGCTTCTCTCAGAATTTCCAACAATTGATTTACCCATTTGAGAATGTGATTTGTCAAGGTTTTTTCCATGAGGAAATTTCATTGAGATTTTGGCTGATGCTGAACAAATTGCCTACAAAATTCAACAGCTCTGATTATAGCTTTCAGTTCCTGTTATTTACAAGGAGGCGATCCCCGATCCCAGCCTTATAGCACGTTCTGAAAAGCGATCAAACTTGTGTCATTCGGAATCTATGATCTTCCAGGCCACTGTGTTGTCTTAATAACCGTCCCGGACTACTTCCTGTTATCTGAACACCTCTTCCTCTTCCTATTCTTCCTGCAGGCTTCGACGGCTGCCTGGCCTATGTGAAGTACAATGGGGAGAATCTACCATTCAGCGGAGATCACAGCGCCGTCACCATCTCCAAGACCAGCTCAGCCGTTAAGATCGGCTGCAGAGGGCCCAACCTGTGTGAGAGCAGCCCTTGCAGGGACGGCCTGATGTGTGTCAACCAGTGGTACACCTACCAGTGCCTCCCACCCGGTGAATGTGCCTCCAGCCCCTGCCAGAACCGAGGGAACTGCGTCCCTGGCCCCCGCTCTAGTTACACCTGCGTCTGCTCTGAGTTCTACACTGGCCAGACCTGTGAGACCCTGGTGGCGTGCCTGGGGGTTCAATGCCCTCAGGGCACCCTCTGCAAGATGGCCAACAACGGTGGCTTCATCTGCAGCCCGAGCCCCACGGCCAAGGAGCTGACCTTGCCCATCTGGGCGGTACCGGCCATTGTGGGCAGCTGTGCCACAGCCCTGGCCCTGGTGGTGCTCAGTCTGATCCTCTGCAACCACTGCAAGAGCCGCAACAAGACCAAAGTGCCAAAGGAGGAGAAGCAGCCCAAGGAGAAGAAGAAGAAGAAGAAGAAAGGGAGTGAGAACGTGGCGTTTGACGACCCAGATAACATCCCGCCGTACGGTGATGACATGACGGTGAGGAAGCAGCCTGAGGGGAACCCCAAGCCTGACATCATCGAGAGGGAAAACCCCTACCTGATATATGACGAGACGGACATCCCTCACAACAATGAGACCATCCCCAGCGCCCCCTGTGCCCCCTGCCAGATGCCTGAGGCAGACATGGAGCACTATGACATAGACAACGCCAGCAGCATCGCCCCGTCCGATGCCGACATCATCCAGCATTACAAGCAGTTCCGCAGCCACACGCCCAAGTTCTCCATCCAGAGACACAGCCCTCTGGGCTTCGCCAGACAGTCTCCCCTGCCCTTGGGGGCCACCAGCTACACCTACCAGCCCCAGTACAGCCAGGCCCTGAGGTCCACCCCTCTCAGCCACTCAGCATGCCCCACGCCCAACCCCCTCTCCAGGCACAGCCCAGCCCCCTTCACCAAGCCCTCGTCCTTCTACCGCAACACCCCCACCAGAGACCTTAACCTGGCCCGCAGGGATGGCAGCCCCCTGGACCTGCACCACAACGAGATGGGCCAGCCGGGAGCCATGTTCAACTACGCCACCCGGCTGGGCCGACGCAGCAAGAGCCCCCAGACTATGGCGGGCCACGGCTCCAGGCCCGGCAGCCGGCTCAAGCAGCCCATCGAGCAGATCCCCCTGGAGACGGGGCCCCCCGTGGGGCTGTCCATCGAGGAGGTGGAGCGGCTCAACACGCCGCGGCCCCGCAACCCCAGCATCTGCAGCGCCGACCACGGCCGCTCCTCGTCTGAAGAGGACTGCCGGAGGCCCCTGTCACGGATGCGCAACCCAGCCGATGGCATCCCTGCCCCGGAGTCATCGTCTGAGAGCGACTCACACGACTCCTTCACCTGCTCAGAGATGGAGTACGACCGGGAGAAGCCTGTGGCCTACAGCTCCAGGGTGCCCAAGCTGTCGCAGGTCAACGAGTCCGACGCAGACGATGAGGACTACGGTGGGCGGCTCAAGCAGAGGCGCTACTCCAGCCGGCGGACCGAGGGCGGGCCCGCTGCACAGGCGCCAATGACAGACCACTACACTTTGCCCCAAAAACTGGGTCAGCAAGCCGGGGGCTTCAACTGGGACAACCTGTTAAACTGGGGCCCAGGCTTCGGCCATTACGTGGATGTGTTCAAGGACCTGGCCCTGCTGCCGGAGAACGCAGCCACAAAAGAGATGAACATTGAAATGAACATTGAGATGAACAGTGGGAACGGGTCAGTGACCATTCTGAACGAAGGGGAGGCTGAGCAATATGTATGAGACTATTTATTACAATCCTGTACAATATGGTATGTTCTCTAAAAGAGAAACTAAGACGATGTAGATAAGAAGCGGAGAACATTGGGCTAGCAGTCTCCATTCATTTCTTTGTGCAAATAAGACACCTTTAATGCATTACGGCAGAAAAGGACACCTGTAATATTACTTCTAATGTAGTTGGAAGAGTATACCAGTCCTTTACAGACCTCTAACTGTACAATCATTAATCTCTGCGGTCTCATTAGGCGTTATACATTAACACTGAATGGTTGGAACAAAAAGCCTGTGTCTGAATTCAATTTGATGACTGCAAAGCTAAATTTGATCTTAATCAAATGTGGCTGGTCTGTATTACCAATATTGCCTCTCCTTTGCAAAACTTCTGTCACATTCACAAGTGAAAGATAAGATGAGCGATAGCATTGAAACACTTGCAGGAGAAATTCCAAAGGCCATAGCTATAGAAACCCCCAGCCTGTGTCTTTTTTGTCCTATTGCTAATTTTTAAAAGGAAGCATGTGTGTTTGATCCCACTGCACCTTTAGGCATGAAAATATAGCCCTCGGTGTGAAAATGAGCACACAACTTTGCTCGCACAGTAATCGAGGCCTGCCAATGTTATGACCCAAGCATGGTAACCGCTCTCTGGCTGTATGTGTTCTCTCAGATGACTGGCTAAGCCCTCCAAGAGTCCCTGCCTTACAGACATTTGAGGATTTAAGAATGCTGAGGACACTATTGGTTCTGTTGGCGGGGGTGGGAAGGGAAGGTTCTGGAGTGAATAGTCTGTGTCACAATCCCCCAAGCCTGAGTGTTATTTGACCAGCCAAAAGGTTCGGCCAATGATAGCTGATCCATCCCATCTTGACGTGAACCCCGCCCTACTAAGACTATGAACTTGTGTAAATTTTTTTGTATCCATGGGAAATCATGGATGTCATCGTTGTCAGTGTTTTTGTCCATTCTTTTTAAATGTATGGTTTCTACTTTTTGTACTGTTTATTAACTTAAATTACTTAAGATGTGTTTTTATGGATATTTTCACATGCTGAAGTGTGTTCTTACTTTCAGGGAAAGTAAGATTGAAGACTTATTTTTTACATTTGTTACATACAGTGCCTTGCAAAAGTATTCATCCCCCTTGGCGTTTTTCCTAGTTTGTTGCATTACAACCTGTAATTTAAATGGGTTTTTATTTTTATTTCATGTAATGGTCATACACAAACTTGTTTCAAGAAATTCTAAAAAAATAAAAGTTGTGCGTGCATATGTATTCACCCCCTTTGCTATGAAGCCCCTAAATATGATCTGGTGCAACCAATTACCTTCAGAAGTCACATAATTAGTTAAATAAAGTCCACCTGTGTGCAATCTAAGTGTCACATGATCTGTCACATGATCTCAGTATATATACACCTGTTCTGAAAGGCCCCAGAGTCTGCAACACCACTAAGCAAGGGGCACCACAACAAACCTGCCAAGAGAGGGCCGCCCACCAAAACTCACAGACCAGGCAAGGAGGGCATTCATCAGAGAGGCAACAAAGAGACCAAAGATAACCCTGAAGGAGCTGCAAAGCTCTACAGCGGAGATTGGAGTATCTGTCCATAGGACCACTTTAAGCCGTACACTCCACAGAGCTGGACTTTACGGAAGAGTGGCCAGAAAAAAGCCATTGCTTAAAGAAGAAAATAAGCAATCACGTTTGGTGTTCGCCAAAAGGCATGTGGGAGACTCCCCAAACATATGGAAGAAGGTACTCTGGTCAGATGAGACTAAAATTGAGCTTTTTGGCCATCAAGGAAAACGCTATGTCTGGCGCAAACCCAACACCTCTCATCACCCTGAGAACACCATCCCCACAGTGAAGCATGGTGGTGGCAGCATCATGCTGTAGGGATGTTTTTCATCGGCAGAGACTGGGAAACTGGTCAGAATTGAACGAATGATGGATGGCGCTAAATACAGGGAAATTCTTGAGGGAAACCTGTTTCAGTCTTCCAGAGATTTGAGACTGGGACGGAGGTTCACCTTCCAGCAGATAATGACCCTAAGCATAATGCTAAAGCAACACTCGAGTGGTTTAAGGGGAAACATTTAAATGTCTTGGAATGGCCTAGTCAAAGCCCAGACCTCAATCCAATTGAGAATCTGTGATATGACTTAAAGATTGCTGTACACCAGCGGAACCCATCCAACTTGAAGGAGCTGGAGCAGTTTTGCCTTGAAGAATGGGCAAAATCCCAGTGGCTAGATGTGCCAAGAAATAGCCCAAGAGACTTGCAGCTGTAATTGCTGCAAAAGGTGGCTCTACAAAGTATTGACTTTTAGTAGTTATGCACGCTCAAGTTTTCTGTTTTTCTGTCTTATTTCTTGTTTGTTTCACACATAAAAATATTTTGCATCTTCAAAGTGGTAGGCATGTTGTGTAAATCAAATGATACAAACCCCCCAAAAAATCTATTTTAATTCCAGGTTATAAGGCAACAAAATAGGAAAAATGCCAAGGGGAGTGAATACTTTCGCAAGCCACTGTATGTAAAATCAGTATTTTCCACTTTTGATAAAACTATAACATACTTTATGCTTTGTACATGTAAAAAGCCAATAACAGAATAAAAAAGTATTTATTTAAAGGTGTCTTTCAATACAAAGTGAGCTTGTCTTGTGGTAAGCAATCTCACTGCAGTCCCCGGGGGGGAGGGGTGGTCTAAAAATACCCCAAACTTAAAATAGACACCTTTGAGCTCAGATAGCAGCTTCATAATGTGGGTGGTAAGGTATTTTATACTCTAAGGACTCTAAGCCTGTTGTGAGCAGAGTTTAAATAAAGCTTGTGCTGAATTGAACAAAACATGTTAAAAGGCCATTGAGGACCTAAATGAAACTGAGCCACAGTGCTGGGAGCCAAGCACAACATCCAGCGGACTCGGCGACGCAGGGCCCTCTATTGCTTTCAACAATTATTTACATCTGGCTTATTGAGCAGAACTATTTTTCGTAGCCTGGTGATCCGGTATGCAACATGCTTATGTTCTCCGTCATCGAGAGAGAGGGGCCACGAAGAGAGAAAGAGAGAGCGGGTAGCCATGAACCAAGCGAAGAGTGACAACCCAAATCTGGTAGAATTACAGTGGGCTCCTGGAGAGGTTCTGTCCTGCCGAGACCAATGTTGACGTAGACTGCTTGGGAATGCTGTACCATGCCGATGCTGAAATAATAACACTCATAAGGATAATGATAGTAAGTGAAAAAGGACCTCGTGTAAATACAAGAGAAGATGAATTCAAATAAACCTCACAGCAGCTCTCTCGCTTTACTGTGTGAGATTGGCATGGCAGGGTATCAAAATGAAACCGAGAGAGGAGTCAAAGTTTGCATAGCATGCACTCCGCTTCAATTAAATGTGAATTAGAAAGGGAGACATACCCCCATAGGTGAGAGGGAAACAGACAGAGGTGGACTGGTCATCTGGCATTTCGGGCAGATGCCAGATGGGCTGGATTTTGTTTTTATTGCCTAGTATAACTAGTTTTTTTGTGTGCAAAATTATAATTATCTGGCTAATAATGAGGGCCTCAAGGGGACAAAATGGGCCGCTGTGGGGGCCTGAAGGGAAAAAAATGGTGTTAGAAATGCCAGGGCCGATTTCTGGTCCCAGTCCACCTCTGGAGACAGGGCTGCTGCATAAAGGGAGCATTGTCCTACTATATAAAACAGGAGAAGTGGGTAGATATATTTGCCCGAGAAGGATTTGTTGTTGTAAAGTTGCAAAAATTGGGTTGCAGCATTGTCTTATTGTAATAACTTACATTAGTTGGATATTAAATGTAATTGCTACAGTGTATACTGTATATTTCTGAGGAACATAACATAACGTATAACGCTGAGTAAATACAGTTAATGTTATTTCAATAGAGTCAAATGGACAATCATTCATAGTCTAGCATAACTTCACATGAATAACATTGTTATTAGTCTAGCAGTGCAGTGTGACTATGTTATCAACATTCACCACATGAAGTTATCAACGTGTCAAGATGAAATTTGAACGAGTTGTTTTCCAAGCGAGTGATAATGACGGAGATGCCAACAAGACGTTCCTAATGTTCTGTATCTCCCCGTGCCAAAACCTCATTATCTTGAATGAAGGTGCGAAATGAGCTAGAGGCAATTTCCCATGTGGCTTATTGCTGAGCTAAACTATTTTAAAATCCACAAGTGTCATAGAATAAAAGTCAAATTAAAATTATTTTGATATTTTTTCTGTTTACTTTGACTTCTCCCCCATGTTTATAAGAGGATGTGGTGTGGTGAAATTGCCTTTCTTAAATCATTCCGTTCCTTCAAAATCTGCCCAGAGTTTGTTTATAAAGATTGATTATTCCTAAGCCTCCGCATGATTAAACAATAACAGCTTAAATTATGTGGCTTTTAATTAAAAGCATCGTCAGATGACCATGAGCCTTATCCACTAACAAGAGTCAGAGTTGTTGGTCAATCCTAAAACCTATTCCGGGAAGTGGCATCTTCCATGTCTTTAAAGCTGAAGATGATCATCTACTATTTGAAACGTCATACAATGACTAACTTTCTAAGGTAGGTGTTCAGGTATGCTTACAGAATCGTACGGCCTCGATGGATACATGGAAGACAAATCACTGGCTCATTCGTGAAATATGTGCACGTGAAATAACAGCAAAAGACTATCTACAAATTACTGCTTCATTTTAATAGCGAGTGTTCAAGTTCACATCTGTATCAAAGCTGTGTCATTGCCTTCGAAAGTGTTCCTCAATGCTGTGCGTACTGCAGCCAAGTCGATGCCTTTCAACTGACATGAAAGCATCAATTAATTAAACTGTGGGGAAAGGGAAAAAATATGCATACTTTTCTGTCTGCACATCTTTGGGATATAATATATATTGTTTCTATGACTTGGCACATTTTCTAGTCCAAAGGGTAGTATTATGTAGGCTTATATGCTACCCTCTTGAAAA